GACAAATAGCAAATGTCAGCACGCTTTAAAACATAAAACATTTAAAATGTTTGTGGATGTACATTTAATTATCAATTATCTTAGAGCAAGACATAAACATGGAAATCCCTTGATTTCTCAATATTTACAGTTTCTCTTTTTAGCTGTTAGGAAATATCAGTATTAGAGGTAGACTTTGATACGGAAACTGATGTCAATTTAAAGATAATGAAATAAGTAATAAATTTGTATTGAATTCAATTGGCTGTTTATTCTTGGCGAAAGCCTCCGTTTTCCAATTATGTAGAGCTTTCGCGTCAAAAGGAACCAGGGGACATGATCGTCTAGACAAAGCTACCTAACCTGAATAACAAAACACTAGAACCAATAGGCTGGGGAAAAATGGACCGACCAAAAAAAAAACCAGCCAACAAATTAATATTGAACTTTATCGCAAAATTTAATGACATGACTGCATATTATAATGATTGTCAAGTAAATTAATGAAATGTCGAATCATAGGCTCCACTGGAAGTCCTAAAGAATTTATATCGGACACAACACAAAAAAACATTATAATAAATTTACGTGGCTTGGATATTGGGTGGGCAGTGCAAATATACCACGATGAGTAGTCTCTAGTTGCTCTGGTCATGACATGTCAGCCTAGTATGAAAACGCTAGGAGTTGATCTCTCAGAAGAGCATTTCACACATAGAGGATACAAAAAATAAAGGGCACACCGAGAACACGTAGTACACTGCGTAAGTGAGGCCGGCACTTGCCTGTGCCCGATCACAAAACAAATTATGACAGCATAAAAATTAACAGAGCAACCATCACCAAAAAAATATACAGCATCTATATAGCACAGTTGACATATTTGCCTTGGTTTAACAAAAGAGTGACAAAACGCAATATCAGCAACATCGCTCCTTTCTAAGATACATGCGTATCTCAGGTGGAACTTTGCCACTTTTACCTGCAACGCCAAGTGGACATAAATACCAAAATCAAATATAAGTAGTATTTTAGTTTATTTTTAAGGAAATCATATCAGCAAAGCATAATTTCTTTAGCAAATACGGTAAATGCCCTATTGGTCATCCCATAATCCACCCACATTGGAGAAGCGTGTAGTAAATTGAACTTAGTCGAATTATACTATTCTACCACTACAATATTATTATTTCATCTAGTGTTATTATCAGTGGAATCCTTTCAATTTAAATCGTGTTTTTGAAATTCCCAAAAAGCTTTTTCGAAGAAAAGTTTGGGGTCAGGAGCGCATAAAGTCTTTAATAGATATTGAAGATATGAAAGTCTTTGAGGGCTACAAACTCCTTTTTTGATCAAATTTAAATTGTACTTAAACTAATGCAGCAAGATCTCTAAACTTCGTTTTCATAGACCTTGGACCTTCAGAAACAAAACCTTTAGCCCCCAGACCTTTCGCTTCTCACATTTGAAACTTCAACATGTTGAATTTTTAAACCCTTAACCTTGTACGTTTTGGGGGAAAATCTAGAACCGGGGAAGGGGTGACTGGAGAGTATTCCACACCCCTTGATTCTACGTTCTTCCCCAAAATGTAAAGTGCTTATACTATAATTTTTGGAAAGAGACCATCCGAGGTAATACCAGAAATCCGTGGAGTATGGAATCGTCGCGTCGTTTGGAAAGAAAGATTTAATGGTATGGTATAGAAGCCCGGACCTGGCTCAGTTCAAGGTAACCTTGAAAAGTAGATCAAGGTGAATGACGTTGACCTAGGAAACGTGTTCTAAGGTGAAGCTTAAAGGTCAGTCGCTCTCCGTTGTTCTGGTATCGAATTTCACTTTCAGGGTCATCCGAGATCATTGACCCCAAAAACGTTCAAGGTCGTCGGAGGTTATGGACATAGACCTTGATCCCTCTTTCGACTCCCAAGTGATTGACCTCATTTTTGGGGTGTCAAATAACTTTTTTATGTCATCCGAAGTCATTGACCCGATAAAACTTCAAGGTCATCCGAGGTGAAGCTCAAATGCCAAGCTGTGGTGATCGTATTTCATTTTTGCGGTGTCAAATTACATTTAAACGATCATACAAGGTCCATCACCTCAAATAATCCGAGTTCATTGACCCCCTAAAGGTTCAAGATGAAGGTCATAGACTTCATATATTTTCAAGGTCTCCCCAGCTCATTAACCCCATTGTTGGGATGTCAAATTACATTTTCAAGGTCATTCGAGATCATTGACCGCATAAATGTTCAATTTTGCCCGGGGGCCTTTACCCCTTTTTTGGACTAGGAGGTCATGACCTCATTTTTGGGGTATCAAATAACTTCATCCGAGGTCATTGACCCGATACATTTTCAAGATCATGCGAGATCTTTGACCCTTTTTTTGTGGTGTAGAATTACATTTCCAAAGTCATCCGAGGTCATTGACACCATTTTTGGAGTGTCAAATTACGTTTTAATGTCATCCGGATAAATTTTCAAGGTGATGCGAGATCATGACGCTCTTTTGTGGTGTAGAATTATATTTCAAAGGTCATCAGAGATCATTTTCAAGCAGTGAAGCGCACATGGCAAGCTGTGGTGATCGTATTTCATTTTTGGGGTGTCAAATTACATTTACATGGTTATACAAGGTCAGTGGCCCCAAATGATCCGAGGTCATTGACCCCATAAATGTACAAGGTCGTGCGAGATCGTGTACTATAAATTTTCAAGGTCGACCGAGCTCATTGGCCGCATTGTCAGGATGTCAAATTACATGTTCAAGGTCATCCGAGAACATTGACCCCCCATAAATGTTCAATTTTGCCCCGGGGTCCTTAACCCCTACATTGGACTCCGAAGTTATTGATCCCATTTTTAGGGTGTCAATTTACTTATTAATGTCATTCTAGGTTACTGACTCCCATAAATTTTCAAGGTCAGGCGAGATCACTAACTCATTTTTTTTTGTGGTGTGCAATTACATTTCCAAGGACATACGAGGTCATTGACACCATAAATTTTCAAGCGGTATAGCTCAAATGGCAGGCTGTAATAATCGTATTTCATTTTTGGGGTGTCAAATTAAATTTACAAGGTCATACAAGGTTAATGGCCTTAAATGATGTAGCGTTAAATTACATTTTTAAGAGAATACAAAGTCATTGGTCCCATATTAGATTTTCAAAATCACCCGAGGTCACTCCACCTCTTTTGTTATGGTATCGAATTACATTTTCGAGGTTATTGACTTTTGTGGTGTCATCCAAGGTCATTGACCTCATAAATGTTCAAAATCACGCTAGGTCCTTGACCCCTTTTTGGTTTCCAATGTCCTTCCCCCATTTTTGGAATGTCAAATTATATTTACAAGGTCAATGGCTTCAAATGATGTATTTTTAAATTGCATTTTTAAGAGCATACAAGGTCATTGGTCCCATGGTGTTGAATTATGACCCTAATTGTGGTGTCAAATTACATTTTCAATGTCATTTAAGGTCAAAGAACTAAATTGTGGTGTCTGAATACATTTTCATAAACTAATTTCAAAAAATAAATAAAAAATAAAAATATCCAAAAAATAAATAGTCATCCAAGGTCAATGACCTCATTGCGTTGTTAAATTACCATTTCATGGCTGCATTTCTATGTGGTGTCGAATTACATTGTCGAGGGCATCCAAGGACAATGAACCCATTTACTGTGGTACGAAATTACATTTTTAAGGCCATAGAAGAGCCATGACTGCATCTTTTGTGGTGGCTAATTGCATTTGTGAGGTCCTTCAAGGTCAATGAACCGTTTTTTTGCGGTGTCAAATTAGATGTTCCAGGTGATCCAAGACCTCATTGATATGTGATGTCTAATTACATTCTCAAGGCCATTCAAGATCAATGAGCTTAGTTCTTGTGGCGTTAAATTACATTTTCAAGGGCATACAAGGTCAATGGTCTCATTTTTGCGGTGCCTACTAACTATAAGTAGATGTTCGAAGTCGTCCAAGGTCAATCACCTCATTTTTATGTCATATCTAATTACACTCTCAGGGCCATACAAGGTCAATGACCCCATTTTTGTGGTGTCAAATTACACATTTCGAGTAATCCAAGATCGATGAGCTATTTTTTTGTGGTGTTGAGACGAGAGTCCTCAGAGCTGAATGTAGCACTGGGAGGGGGGGTGTCTGGGGGGTTGTGTCAGTATATACGATAAGGGGATCCGCTAATTAGCATTTCCTCTATTTATAATATGTTTTTTAGGGCGATAATGATATGAATCCTTGCTATTGGCATTCTCACATGTATTTGTGTTTCGTTCTGATTTACTGCACTTTACTCGATACCTGACTTGTATTGTACAACTTGAGATGTTTAATTCGTTTGTGCTCTTTGGCATTTTGTTGTCGTAGTTGATTTATTTCGTGTATTTGTGTACCAGGGTTTTTGTCCACAAAAGGTTTTCCTGGTGTCGCCTTTTTTATGTGAACGTAATATATTTTGTGTTCTTGTCTTTTCTTACGCACAAAATTCTATATTTTATTCAATTCCTCACGTCCCAACAAATAACAGAACCGATTACACAACGTGTAGGAGTTCATTCGTGCCAGCAGTTCAGACACTTCAGATCTGAAAACCATAAACCTTCCACTTTTCAGCTCTTCATAGTCTCGGCTCCTTTATTTTACAGAGTCTTGTCCTTGTAAATCCTCCTGTAACTCAAAGTCGTGATTCACGCCTGTACTATTTTCGATTTGAGTCTCAGAGCGCAACGGTAAATGTGGACTTTAAACGGCGAGGTAAGAGAAAAAACTCTAATACAATAACAACATTTCCCAAGAATAGGTTTTCAGAATTTCTCCCCGTCATAGAACATTCCCACCTAGACCTCTAATTGCTCATATAATTTTGGAATTAGAGTTCGCACTTTAATATTCATATTTATCGCACATCCTTAATGGACTAACAACTTTGCACAATGGCCCATCACTGCGTTGGGAATTCTTTATTCAGTGCGTTCTACGAATGCTTTAACAACAATGTTCGATTTGCATCTCAAATTAAAACGTAGATAAACCTTAAATTTGATGGTACATGCCTTCTGGCCTCACTTTAATCATGCTCGTTCTAATATCAGTGTTAAGTGCTTTAGCTGTAGCTCACTGCAGTGAAGATTTTCTTGGTAAGTATCACTGAATTCACTGCCTTTTGGCTTCACACACACGCTCGTGCCAAATTTTCTGCGTATCAGGGTTACAGAACCAACACAAGGAGTTCAATCTTTATTTTATCGCAGAAACTGTTTCATGTCGTGTTCTCCTGATACCTCGAAACAATGTCTTTGAGAATTCCGGGAACGCAACGCATTTGGAACGACTTCATTGAAGAAGAGCGTATTGTGTTTTTCTGGTACCAAATTCCCTGCGTCGTTATTTATAGAACGATAGCATTCTCCAATACTGTTTTCCTGATATCACATTCTGCAATAATCACTGCGTTTTCTTTGATCATGACCTCCTGGCCTAGATTGGAAGGATTTCAAAGATGGAAACCTGGGTACTTCTGCTTCTAAAGTTCGTGACAAGCAAATGCATCAGGATTACAGATCGGTATGCTCTCCTGATAACATATTCTCGACATTGCGTCAACGCAAGAAGATTTTCAATCCTTCAATCTTCTGTTATTGTGTCTGCTCAATTACTCAAATACTTGAGTGAAGGCCGTGATGAGTTCTCACGAATTTTTTTTTAACTAAAAGAATCCCACGTATTATCCGATTCTGATACCTAATTTTTTTTCGAAATGATTGATGATAAGAAAAACATTCTCACGAATTTTTTACTTCTACATTTCTCGATTGCCACGCGAGGAGATTTTAAATCGTCACCGCCTAATATGCTTTCCTGATACTAAACATTGCTTCTAAGTAGTCCTTGGAGATTCAATCACGTTATGCGCTCCTGACCACAACCTTTCCTTTGAAACAGCTTCTTGGGAATTTCAAAAACTTGATTTAAATTGAAAGGATTTCACTGACAGAAACATCATGTTCTCCTCATCGCTAATTCTTCCGCATTGTGTTCTTCGTAGCCGCATGTTCCCCTGATAACAGATTCCCTAATGAAATTGGATCAACGCAAAGATATTTTCAATCATTACCTTCTCGCATCCAGTTCTCCTGATACTTAAACCTTTCGAGTTATTTCAATGTAGCTACGATTTCTATATCGGTTTACACGCCTCGCAAATGTGAATGGATGATAGGATGACCAATAGGGCATTTACCATATTTGCTAACATATTTCCTCATTTTAAATATTTACTAGGAAAATTGTCATAAATTATGCTTCCCTGATACGATTTTCTTAAAAATGGTGTCTTCAGTAATTCCAGAAAATCTACTGGTTTAAATTCAAAGCACCTGATTGACGAAAACCTTGAGAAAATCACGTATTATGCTTTCCTAATACCGATTTTTCTTTCAAATGATTTCGAAAACGCCAAGATTTGTATTGGTAAGGGATTCTCGCGTATTGTGATCGTCTGGTAGGTATCAATATTCTTTATTGGAATATGCCATTGTATCAGGAGCAAACATACTAAGTATAGCTGGGTCAACAAAGAGATTTTAATTCATTATTGTATCATGCTCTCCTCATACTTTAGGAATGTCAGAAACCATACGATTTTGACTTTCTCACGTATCGTGTCGTACCAAAATTTCGTCGTAATTGTACCAGGCGTACAGAACCATATGGCTCTCGCATACTGTCTCACATTCTCCGATAACAATTTATTGTACCAAGCAAGAGATTTTAAAACCTTTAAAACCAGTATCACATAAAAGTTCCACCTATTGGAATACGTGGAATATTGTCAAGTATTGTTTCCTTTATACTACACTCTCCGGTATCTTCTCAAGGACCTTTTAAACTGTCACTGAGAAAATGTTCATGTATCATGGCCTCCTGTTACCACTTGCATCAGGGCAAAAGAAACCTGACAAATTCGCACGATATCGATATCACGAGAGTCCTCTGAGCTGTACGTTTTTAGAGAAAATGTAGCACCGGGGTGGGGGGGGTCGTAAATTTCCCCCCCCCCCCCCCCCCGGTTCTGCATTCTTACCCAAAACGGACAATGCCCATAACACTGACACATCATTTTTTGGAATGGGACCATCCAACGTAACACCATGAATGTGGGGGATATAGAAGTATCAGGATTATAGAAAAATTCCTTCAAATTTCTTGCTGATATTACATAATAATTGCCACGCAGTAAGATTTTAAATGCACTCTCTCTCTCTAAATTTTTACTTTAGCCAAAAGAGATTTTAGATATATACCGAGCATATCACGTTTCATGCGCTCCTGATACCAAACTTTAATTCTTTTTAGGAATTTTAGAAACACAAACATTTAAATTTAATTAAGTTCAAGGACAAGCATCTCCTCATTATGTTCACCTGATACTGAATTTCCAGCGTAAATATTTTTAAATATCAGGGTTGCAGAAACGTGAGTGATTTTGACGTATTGTCCTATAGGTAATTAATGCAAATTCTAACATTTTCGTATCATGTTCTCCTGATTCTAAGCATCATTTTTTCGATTTTTTTTGTATAATAACTGCAAAAGAGCAGGAATTTTTAATTGGGCGGATTTTCATTGATGACAACCTCCTCAAATGTTGCGATCTTTTACCGCCAAATTCTCTGCGCAACAGATGGTATCAGAGTTATAGAAACTTGGGAAGATTTTGTGCATTGTTTCCCTGATACTACGTTTATGTTGCCCTGATACCAATTTCCCCTTTAGATACTGTAGCTATTCCACGTTTTTAATTTAACTACAAACTACTGATACCAAAATCTGCGCACAAATAATTGTATCCGGATCGCAGAACCGTGTATTCTCCTCTTATAAAATTGCTATAACATAAAGACATATTTTATTGAAGAAATGTTTTTGTATCGTACTCTCCTGATACTGAAAGACTCCTACTGAAGGGCAACGATTGGAATTGATAGGGTCTTCTCGCATATTGAGATCTGGTACCAATTCCTTTTTGCCAATTATTTGTATCAGGAGAACAGGCACATGAGATTTTTCCAAGTATCATGTGGGCCTCATACTTATCTGTTAAAATTTCTTTGGGAATTTCGAAAACGAGGCAATTTTGAATTACAAAGACATTCTCACGAATGTGCCTCTGGTACATAATATTCTCGCTGTAGTTATTTGCATCAGGGTTACGGAAAACTTCTCGCATTATGTTCTCCTGATACCAAACGTAAGTTGAAAATTACTTTTGACAGCATTTCAGAAATGCTTTGAGAGGTTGTGATCTTCTGGTACCAATTCCTCTTAATTGTATCAGGACTACAGAAATCTTTACGTGTCGTTTTCTTGAGACTTCCTCCGATTATAGTTGCGTTACAATAAGGTTTCCACATGCTGTTTTCCCAGTATCACATGAAATGGTGAAATTGCACCTACGCGCTGATATTTTTGCACCTGTTCTCCTGGTATTGAACTTTTTTTCAAGCTACTACAACTGTTGGGTTTGCCTAAGCGCAACATTTCAAATTGGTTGAACTCCATTGGCGAAAACCTTGTCAGGTCTTGCGGGGTTTAAATTCAAAATTCTCTGCGCATTTACTTGTATCAGGGTTACAGAAACCTGCAAAATTCAAATCGATAGGTTCGTTTGTCACTAAATGCTATGGGCAAATATGTCTAATAGGATAACAGAAATCCATTACTTTTCCGATGCCACATTCACCGATAATTGTTGTAACAAGAGTCTGTTCTCCTGATACCAAATATTCATGAAAACGGAATTTCCGAAACGTCAATGTTTTGAATTGTGAGACCTCCTCTGTATCGGGATTACACTTACGATGAGAAGGTTTTCACGTATTGTTCCCCGTATACTTCAGTCCCCAATTCTAGTTTTTAAATATCTACCAAGACACTGTCTTGGTGCTAAAGTTTCCTAACAGATACTTTGGAAGCTTCAGAAACGATTTTAAATTGGAAGCATTTCTTGAGAACTACGTTCTTCTGATACCAAGAGCTCCGCGCAAATAATTGTATCAGGATTACAGCAACGCAAGAAATTCTCCCCTGATTGAAACGATCTTCTGGTACCTTGCTGTCCTGATACCATTATTTGTATTGGAATTTCAGAAGAGCAACACAAGAGATTCTCACGTATAATCTGTTTTTATTGGACCATGTTTTACCAACATTAGAAATTTAAGCCTCTATTGTCATTGTCATGTTCTCCTGATACTAGCGGTTACTTGTCTCTTTCAACATAAATATGAAACTGTAATGGTTACGAGAGCCATCCGACATGGAAAAGTACTTCGGTCTCGAGCTACCATACGCTAGTAGAATGGAGCCACTTTTTCGCCATCTTGGATTTTATTCGCGGGGTCAATCAAGGTCAATTAAATTGATTCGTCGTAAATGAAATTTTGAGTTTTTAGTGTTTGTCGCGACTTTACACGACAATGTTGCAGGAAATCTTCAAGTCTGCAAACGCAACGACCGCAACATCGACAGCTGCCTAAAAAATGCCGTAAGTCAAGCAGTAAAGCTTCTGGCCGACGGTAAGTGGGTGAATTCGAAATGAGGCAAAGTTACAGTTTCCACTAGGTTATCCCGAGCATGGCATTCAACCCCTAGAGCCTTTGAAAGTTGGAGGGTGGAATGTCACTAAGGGAAGCGTCCTTCCCTTCGACCAAGACTATTACGACATGAAACTGCATAACTACTCCGACATCGTCATCGAGTCAGTCAGGTGACTATTTCGCAGGTGTCTTAGGCACAATATCAAGTGCGTATTTTAGCTCGAAATTTGACGATGAGAATTTTTATGTGGAAATAATAGCTCTCGGTCCCCATATGTACGTCGATGGACGCTATGAGTACTACGACGCAATCCTAAATGGCGTTAATCTGACCAGCAAAGGCAAAATCGAGTATTATTACAGTAAGTTTTACGACAAAAGTCGATCGGATGTTTAAACTAAACGATTTCAGCCGGGTACAAGTTTTACGTCGACCTATTTGGTAAAATTGTCAAACGGAATGGCGTAGAATACGTCGACATTACAGCATGTACTGTCGACGTCTTGAGCTTGGATCTCCTAAGGATAGAATTCAGGAGTGAAAATCCGGAGTTGGACGACGTGATCACGACGAAGTTCAACAACATTTGGAAGGAACTAATCAGCGACAATCGGGAGGGATACGAACGGATGTACTCGGAGAAATTTAAGGAGGTCGCCAGTAGCGTCTTTTCAGCGTTTCGATATGACAAACTACTTCCGAAGAATTAGTTAAGAAAATGTATTTTTAAAGGTTTATTTTTACTCTGGATCTATTAAACCTATCAAACTAAACTCTAGATTTCTATAATTGTTTCTTCCATTTTAACATTTCATCCTTTGAGTAATCCTACGGTAAGGTTTTAACTGCAGCCTGCTCAGATAAGTTTCCTTAGAATAAAAATTGGGGCGCTTCTTGCCCCAAAAACAAAAACAGCAACCAGTAACTGATCACGTATAACACGAACCTTCGGTAACGGATAAGCATCTTTTTTTGGGTTATGGATTAAGACAATATTCGGTAAGGGATAAGCATCCTTTTTGGATCATAGATTAAAACCTCGGCTTTATTCTGCCTAGCCCTATCTGGAGACCGTGCTTGGGGATCTGTGAGAAAATCTGAGCTTAAATCATGACATTTATGCTCAAACTTGGGAAAGTAAAGGTCCAAATTCCTCGATGATCCTTTCGAAGGGTAAAAAATTTTCCAGACAGCGCTTTCTAACCCCGTTCTCTTGCGTCGAGAAGGACGAGAAGGCTTAGGGGTCTCTCTAAATGTTTAAAACAGGAGTTGGAAGCAATTTTCCTTAGAATAGAAATTTGAGGATCGGTGAACGAATGCGCAAAAAACCCTACAGAATGTAATGAGAACTTAACTCACGCAAAATTATTAGCCTTATGTGAAAGATTGGCATTCAACAGCCAATAGACGATCACGTATGACAGGAATATTCGGTAAGGGATAAGCATCCTTTTTGGATTATAGGTTAAGACATCGGCTTTATTCTGCCTAGCTCTTTTTGGAGACCGCTTCTTGCCTCAAAAACTTTGATGGGAATATCGCATTCAGCAACTAGTAACCCATCACGTATAACACCAACCTTCGGCAACGGATAAGCATCTTTTTTGGGTTTGGATTAAGACAATATTAGGTAAGGGATACGCATCCTTTTTGGGTTATCGATTAAAACCTCGGCTTCATTCTGCCTAGCAGTTTCTGGAGACCATGCCAGTGCCTAGGCGTGTATCTAAATGTTTAAAACAAGAGTTGGAAGCAATTTTCCTTAGAATAGAAATTGGAGGATCGGTGAAAAGGGATGTAATGAGAACTTAACTCACGCAAAGTTATAAACCGTCGATAATCGAGAGGGATGTACTCAGTGTTTTTCAGCGTTTCCTTACGACAAACTGCTCCCGAAGAATTAGCTAATAAAATATATTTCTAAGTTTATATTTTTACTTTGGATGTAGTTTTCTAAAAAAACGTTGTTAAAGGTGGTGTAACAAGTCGAGAATAACAAAGCATTCAGAAGCCAGTCAAGTATGACAGCAATATTCGGTAAAGGGTAAGCATCCTTTTTGGGTTATTGATTAAGACAATAATGTTCGGTAAGGGATAAGCATCTCTTTTGGGTTGTGGATTAATACCTTCGGTTCTTTCCGCCTAGCAGTTTCTAGAGGCCGTGGTAGTAGAGGTCCAAATTCCTCGATAGTCCTCTAAAGAATTTGGACACTTTACAGCGCTTTTTAATGCCGTTCTCTTCGTTCGAAAAGGGCAGGTGCTTAGGGGTCTCTCTAAAAACATTTGGAATGAATTAATCAACGACAATCGAGAGAGATAGAAACGAAACTACTCGGATAAATTTACAGAGGTCGCTAGAAGAGTTTTTTCAGATTTTCCCCTAGGCCTATTAAACACCTTGTTTTGATTTTTAATATTACTCACTCAAATTGTTGCTACCAATTTGGCATTTGATCTCCTTAGTAAGTCTACGATTAGGTTTTACCTGCAGCCTGGTCAAATAGTATCACAAACCGGATATCCAGAATAACAGCGCATTCAGCAGTCAGTAAACGATCACGTATGTTAGGAATATTCGGTAAAGGATAGGCATCTTTTTTTTGGGTTGTTGAATATTAAGCAATATTCAGTAAGGGATATGCATCTTTTCGTTTTAGGTCCTTTCCAGGGCTTTTAAACCATCCTCAAAGCTTTAAAGGTCTTTTACAAAGGCCGTGTTAGTGTTTTTTAGCGCTTTGTAACCGTCAGTTACAATACAGAGTTGCAAATGTATCATTTTAATTTTTTTACGGTAGTGTTAGATTTTTGCCATTTGCTTTTTTTTGCAAAGAAATCGAAATTTTAAAATCTGTACAGTTAACTTAGTTAGAAGACTTTTGTTACTTAATATTGAATTTATTGGAAAACTTACAGAAAATTACACTTTACCTTAGTTATACAGCGCCTAAAACTACCCCTTAGGTTGTCCAATATTGGAATGGAACAGAAAATTGTTGAGAGTGAATTCCGAATCGTAGCAGGAAGGCTTTATTGTTGATTTAAAAAAAAGTCGTCCTGTATGTAAAGAATAATAATTTAACAACCAAGGTCTAACGACGTTATTTACACCGGTAAATTTGTGTGAAAATGAATAGCTAAGTGTTATTTTTTCACTGGTCTCCCACTTTTTTTGGTCGATGATTGGGCACCTAGTGATCATTAAGACGAACTGATTAATAGACTTTCAGACGCTTAAAGAAATGCATCGCTTCGTTCTAGTCTTTGTATTTTTTGCATCAGTACACAGCCAGACGGATATTTTGGGTAAGTGAATTTTTGGCATTGACTATATTAGGAGAGTATAAATGGCGCATAAGATTCCTTCTAGCACCTCAAAACGTGTACAAAAAGTGTTTTGTGGCAGGAAAGGCTTTGATATTGTACCAAAGCCTAGGTACTGGCATTTTATGTTCTCCTGGTAATCATTGTCAAAAAAAACTTGATAACAAATCGGCAATAATTAATTCACGGCCAGCATTAGTCTAGGGGAATTTCAAGAGCAAAGGTAGCAGGAGAGCAGTTTTGAAAATTTAAAAATATTCAACAAAAACTGCCCCATGTGAAACAATATAGTGCGGAAATCATACTTAAAAGTAGCTGTTTTATGCTTGTCCGGTTCCCACGAATATAAATGGGCTACTTACAAGTCCAATTTCAACAACTTTAATTTTACCGTTTCATAAACATAATGTAGTGTGCGCAATTATTTAATGTGTATTCAGAACGATTGATTAACGGCCATTGCTAGACAAAAATACAAAATTATTGCTTTTATTTAAATTGATAAGACCTTGTAAGATGATAAGGTCTGCAGTTGCGGCGTTATCTTACCATGTAAACGTAGTCTATAAGAATTTTTCGCATTCTATGAACTAAATTATTCAAATCTTTTTCCTAAAATTTTCAGTTTTTCCAATTATTGCATAAGCTGCTTGCGTTTGCAATGTTCGAATGTTTCAGTATTATATGATTTTCTGGAATTTTCGTTTTTTAAAATTTTCAATGTTCTAAATTAAGTTTAATTCCATAACTAAAAAGTTGTGTGTTTGGATCATCAATTTTCTTTTATCCTTCGATTATTTGAATTTATTCAATTTTTTTTAATTATTTCTTTTTTAATTTTCGATTGCCCCCTCTGAAGGTTTACGCGATTTTTTAAATTCTAAAATTTTAAATTTTAATTGTTTGAATTTCACAAATGCTCAGAAATTTATTATTATTATTTTAAGTTGAATTTTCACTTTTCAAACTTTTCAAAATTTTTTTTAATTTCTCCATGGCTCTAAAATGTGTAAGTTTATCTGTGTAAGGTTATCTACTTATTCCCAAGATTAATTTTTGGAGTGCATGTACCTAACTTTGCCACATTTTCCTGCATTTTTTCAGAAAGTTTTCAATTGTTCGTAAATATTCTTTTCAGAATATTAACCTTATTTCTTGGTTATTTCCTCCGCTCGGAAAACAACACAAATTTTTGTACATCTCCACTTTATCTAATTTTTTTATTTTTAAAATGTTTATACATTTTTTAAAACTTTGTTTAGTATTTCTGAACGTCTTTTGTATGAGTTGTGCAAATTTTCAAAATTTTGAATGTGTAGGATTTCACATTTTTTAATTTTTTTGCACAATTTTTTAATTTTCAGAATTCAAATTTTACTAATTCCTTAAAATGTTTTAATTTTGCCTGAACCTTTCGATTTTTTTTATTTTTGAATTGTCAAATGAAAGAATTTGTAAACAAAGTTTTTTGAAATATTTCTGAACCATTTCGAGTTTTGGATGCTTGTAAATTTGGTAGCATTGTTAACTTCTGAGTATACCTAAATTTATTGTACTTTCAAAAATTATTATTTCACGGTTAGTGTACAATTGGTCAATTTTTTTTTACATTTCCAAAGTCTAACTAAACTAAAAAACTTTAGAAAATGAAGAATTCCAAAAAATGCAAAAAAAATTAAACATGCAGAATTTTTTTGCATTTTTTGGAATTTTTCATTTTCTAAAGTTTTTTAGTTTTTAAATTGTTTCACCTCATGCTATAGTTTTTCTGACTTTGTCCAAGTTTTTAAAATTTCCTTAAATTCAATTGAATCTTTGCGTTCGAAATTTTTTAATTTTTTTCTGATTCTTTTTTATTGCTTGTGCATTTTTTCAATTGCGTCGAACTTTTAAGTTGTTTTCTTTTATTCTCTTTTAATTTTGCTCATTTTTTTTATTGTTCTATTTGAATTCTTGCTTGTTTTTTAATTTTCCTCAATTCTCTCTATTATATTTTTGAAGATGTTCTAAGGCTATAGACACAAAGTCCAGCGATATCTTAGAAAAAACACTAAGCAAAAGTAAGCCTTCGGCTCGCTCGGCTTTCAGATCCATCTAAAGTTGCCCAAATTTGTGTTTTTTCCATTTCATAAAAGGCTATACCGATGCCGGGCAAGCCGAAGACGAGTTCGGCATAAATTGTGCTGTCTATATTGTATGGTCCCGAGGAAGGATCGAGGGAAAGACACAAAGCGCATTTTTTTAACCGAAATAGCTTTTGTTTTGACATCACCAATGGATATATTTCTTGCAGACGTCTCAGTCACCCTTTGTGAGTACCCTCTTCCGACAATCCGTTCTTGATGTATATAAGAGACTATACCCGATTGCGATAAGAGGTCGAGGAGGAGGGCTATGGTTGATAGAAATTACTTCCTTTCGTTGAGACCTTTCATTAGAGTACCATGAAGGATAAAACTAGCATATAAAGTCAATGACTGCATTACCTCATTGACGTTATAAATTTTCAAGGTCGTCCGAGGTCATTGACTTTATATGCCATTGAAATTGTAATTTGACAACACAAAAATGGGGGCCATTGACCTTGGATGACGTTGAAAACTGGGATGACCTCGAACATGTAATTTAACAGCATGGGGCAAATGACCTTGTACGTCCTTAAAAATGTAATTTAACACCACACTAATTGAGGTCATTGACCTTGTAAATGTAATTTGACATCCCAAAAAATGCAATATGATAACTGCAGCTTGCCCTTTGAGATTCACCGTGCCCTACTTTCCAAGGTCACCGCCCACGTGGCACGCGACTTTCAACCTTGACTAATTTTCAAGGTCGTCTCCACGAGTCACGCGACCGTCACCTTGACATAATTTTCATTGTCCTACTTTCCAAGGTCACCACCAGGTGACACGCGACTTTCACCTTGAAGTGGTCCAGGATCGCCCCTGTATAACTACTACTATTTATGTGTACAAAGGAAAATAAGTTATGGCAATATTTTTATAAATAGGAAACTTAGCATTACGCATGCGCACACTTGTTGTTTAAAATATGTGATATGCTTGTCTTTACTGGAAGCATGTGTGGTTAAAATGCCAAAAAATATCTTCATAAACAAGGCAATATTTTACTTGTGAGGAAAGAGTAGGGGTGACAGTTAAAAACCTTTCACTGCAGAGTGAGGAAGTACCTTACTTTGTAAAAGGGAGTGCAAGTTACTCGTTGAATGAAATTTTCCTATTCCAGTTAGGAAATGTGCAAGATAGTTGGCACCATTTGCTTAGAAATGTGCGGTTCAGAAGATTTTGTTACTTATATTCAGTGCGAACCATTACCTATTGGAATACTGCCCTACAAGTTAAATTCTTTCCAATTAACATCAATTAATTGAAATAGAAATCATATTTACAACTAGCTATAATCCTAAATGAATCCGTGTGGGGGCTTAATAAATTAAAGTTAGGAGTTACAGATTTGTGAATGTGCTTAATTAAGCCGCGCGAAACTATGCGTTCGGCTGTCAATTATTTGTAAATGAGAAATGGAATTATAATGCTAATTACGCAAGCTACTAGTAAATTATATTAACTTATCTGAAAGGATTAATTAATTACTTCTCCCCTTGTAATTGACTCATATTTTAATTTTATCACTTCATGAATATGCATTGAAGCGTACTGGTTTGGGGCGGGGTTTGAATTGTTTACTAAGGCTGACAGTAACGCGATTGTGGAACAAATAGAGCCCCCAACTTGGTTCTGTAAAACCACTCTCCACTTTGACCCTTAAAACGAGTTCACGTTCTCGTAGTTAGTAAGTCCTGAGTACTGTCATTTATACGTTGTGCGGGGCACAGTCCCTTTAAGCATAAATTTTTCTAAATACTAATTTTAGCGCGAAATGTGTTAGTCAATCTGCAACCTTCCAGAATTCCAGTGGCGTAGAACTTTGGTCATATGTGTCTCTGACAGTAATGTTCGATTTTCTCGTCCGTTATAACTAAAATGAAATCACTTTGCAGGACAACTACACATATGCAAGCGTTCCGATCCCAAATTGAACGACTGCCTAAAATCGTCCATAAAAGGCGCTCTGAAGATTTTGGCCAGCGGCGTCCCCAGTTTGAAAATACCCTCGATCGATCCCATCGAAGTCGAGAGATGGACGATTCATGCGTCTGACGTCCTGCCATACGAGCAATACTACGAAAACCTTAATTTGACTGGTTACTCGGACATTGAGATTGAAGACGTTTAGTAAATATCGCAGTTGACTTTCAGTCGATAGCTTTAACCGCGAATTTCAGCACGAATGTTGGCGACGAGTACTTCAGTATTCACCTGATGTGTTCCGCTCCGAAACTTCTGGTGCAAGGTGACTACGCGTACTACCTGGTTAGGCCAACGAAAGGAGAAGACCTTAGCAGTCAGGGCACAGTGGAGTACAAATACGGTAAGTATCCTCGCGGCCGTCGGAATCTATACAAACTTTGGGATGCGTAGATGCGCACAAATTCTTCGTCAAGTTCGACGGTGATATAATCAAGAAAGGTGGCGTCGAGTACTCCGAAATTATTCGGACCGACTTCAGCATGGTGAGATTGCGTTCGTTCGAAATGACGTTTCAGACGGACCACCAAAGAATCGGTGATAAATTGGGAGAGTTGGTGAATGGTGGTACTAGAAAGTTGGCGACCATCAACATGGGAGAGTATGAGGAAATGTACGCTGCGGCTTTTCAACGCATTGCTAACGCCGTATTTGCTTCGAATCCGTCCGAAAAGCTATTGCCTAAGTAGAAAGGAATGTTAAAGCGTAGTTTGGCAACACAATCCCACTTAGTTCGATCCGTGTTGCTAATAGAAAGCACTGTGAAGTAATAAACATTTCACTTGCACTTACTTTTTTCCTTAAAAATATGGTAACTGATCCTTGGTAATGATCACCCTGAGCCCCTCTCCTCAATTTCGTAAGGGTTACCGAAGACAATTTTGCTTGCGTTTTACTGCATTTTTAGTTAGGCGACCTTAAACATGTTTGCGAAGTGCCTGGAAAGGCGACGCAAATCTCTAGAAAGCATCTAGAACGCTTTGGAACCTCCGAACGCTTTCCAGTTTTGTATACGTAGCCCTTACTTTGGCCCTTCCTTGAAGATCTTTACAGAAATTGAATGAAGGTTATTACACTAGATTTCTGTTCGTAGCTTTACAAATATCATGGAAAGCCATAAAAGTAAAACATTTAACTCTCCCATTCTCTTGTTTCCAGTTTACAGTTTATGGCTCACGGTTCACGGTTCACAGTTTACGGTTCCCAGTTCGCAGCTCACAGTTCACCGTTTACAGGTTACATTTACGGCTTACGGTTTACAGTCTACAGCTTACAGTCTACAAGTTACAGTCAATAGATTACAGGTTACAATTTACGCTCTACAGTTTACGGTTTATGGATTACAGTTTATGGTTTACGATTTACGGTTGACGGAGGCAGTTGACGGTTGGCAGTTGACGGTCGAAAGTTTACGGTCTACAGTTTACCGTCTACATTTTACAGTTTACGGTTTACAGTTTGTTTTTATTGGAAATGTTTCTGATTTGTAGCGCATTTTTTAAGAATAAAAAAAATGTGCTATTGTTTGCGTTTTAAAATTAAAATTGAGGGGCTGTGAAACCTACAGGAATGAAGGGGAAGCCAAACAAACAAACCGCAAAAAACACGAATTTCAAACATTCAAAAAAAGGTTTTTTGTGGGAAAAAATTCCGAAATTTCAAATTAGCGTGTCAAATCTACAAGAATGAAAGAAAAGGGAGACTAAACTACTGAAAATACCGGTCACAAGTTTTATATTTTTACTTTGAATTTTCACTGATTCTGAAAAAAATTTAAAAATTACAAAATCGTATGTGAAATCTGCAAAAATAAAAAAGGTGAGAAGGAACTAACCAAAACATTCCATACATTTTAAAAAATTAATAGTTTTTGATGTCTTATTGTTATTTTTTGATTTTGTATTTTCATTTTTGCTGAAAAAATTAGCATATGATTTTAAAAAAAGTCAATAAGTAATTCATGTTTTACTGTACATTTACATACAAATCTCAAAAAATCAGAAATTTCAAATTAAATTCTTATTATTTATGAGTATCATGTGTAGATAGTGAGATAGAATTCAAACCAAAGCAAAACTTAACACAAGTTTCAAAAAATCAACAATTTTTGAATTTTTTTGCTGTATTTGTTTTTTTTAATTTTCTTTTTAAAGATACGTTAAAAATTACAAACTGAGCTGTGAAATATGCAGAAATGGGAGAGGAACAAACACCAATTACAAGAAATTAACAATTGTTTCAACATTTTTTGAATTTGGGTTTACATTTTTTCTTGAAGAAATAAGCAGAAAGTTACAAATTGAGAGATGAAATCTGCAAAACTGAAGGAAGCATTAGAGACAATGCTAAATACATATGTCAAAAATCAAATATTTTGGGTTGTGGATGGGCAGAAATGAACGAAAAGTGAGAGAAACAAACCCAAAAAATATCAAGTCCGAATTTCAAGAAATGAAAAAAATGTTTATTTTTATATATTTTAATTCCTTTTTAAATAAAATAAGTGAAAGAAAACAAACGAATAAAATACCAAATCATATAAAGTAAAAAAATTGAAATTTTGAATTTTTTTATTTTATTAATTTTTGACAAAATGGCTTCCGAAATCTGCAGAAAAAAATTGGGAGGCAAATTGAACTGTCAAGATAATGGAAGGTAAGTCGGATATAGAATCAAAACCAAAAGAAAAATCTAACGCAGGTTTTAAAAAAAGTTTGTTTTACATTTTTTGACTGCGTTTTTATTTTTTAAAAATTTCTTCGATTAGGTTTTTAATTGCTATGACGAAAATTACAAATTGTGGCGTGCACTAGTAAAAATTCAAAAAAAGCGGAACAAAAAATATCGTAAATAAAAAAATCAACAATTTTTAATTTTTACGTTTTTTCACTTTGCATTTCCACTGATCCTCAAAAAAGAAACGTTAGATGGCACTGCCAAAACATACCAAACATATTTTGTAAAATAATTTTTTTAATTTTTTATTGTTCCATATTTTATTTTTATTTTTTGATCTTGTTAGAGAGATTATCGGGTGGAAAACTGCAAAATAGGGTGTGGAATGTGTAGACTTGAAAGTGAAACAACAAATAAAAAATGATTAGAATAAGGGGAAAATTAAAAAAAAAGTTGTGCTGTGAAAGTTGCAGAAACAAAACAAACAAGGTATAAATTGTGCACAACCCTTGCGCATTTTTTTAAACCGAAATAGCTTTTATTTTGACATAACCAACGGATATATTTCTTGCAGATGTCTCAATCGCCCTTTGTGAGTACCCTCTTCCGACAATCCATTCTTGAGGTATAAGGGAATATACCCGATCACGATAAGAGGTCGATGAGGAGGGCTATGGTTGGTAGAAATTAATTTCTTTCGTTGAGACCTTTCATTAGAGTACCATGAAGGATAAAAACTAGTTCCCCCCCTCCCCTTTACCCCGATTATTACACTAGATTTCTGTAGCATTACAAAAATCATGTAAAGCTCACCATAGCCCTAAAAGTCAAACACTTAACTCTCCCACTCTCCTGTTTCCAGTATACAGTTTATGGCTCACGGTTCACAGGTCACAGTTTACAGTTCTCAGTTCGCAGTTTACATTTACGGTTCACGGTTCACAGGCCGCAGTTCACCGTTTACAGTGTACATTTACGGTTTATGGCTTACGGTATACAGTCCACAGCTTACAGTCTACAGCTTACAATCTACAAATTACAGTTTATAATTTACGGTCTACAGTTTATGGTTTGCAGATTATGGTTGACGGAGACAGTTGACGGTTTACAGATTACGGTCTAGAGTTTACGGTATACCGTTTACGGTCTACATTTTACAGTTTCCGGTTTACAGTTTGTTTTTATTTGAAATGTTTCTGATTTTTGGCGTATTTTTTAAGAATAAAAACGTGCATAACTTTTACATACGACATAACCAACTGGTCTCAGAATTTGCATACGCATGCCTTTAGTGGTACCAAATAAAATTTTTGAAAATAGGGGGGGGGGCGGGAGGTCAACCCACGTTCTACCCTTCATGGGATTCTAATGAAAGGCCTTACGGAAATGAATTGGCTTGTACAAACTATAACTTTCCTGCGCGACTCCTTTCCGAGATCAGTGGGAGCCTGGGAGGAGGGAGGAAATTAATTTTGTCTTTCATGGTATTCCAACTAAAGGTCTCAACAAAAGGAACTGTTTTCTACCAACCACCTGCCCTACTTTCTAACTCCTCATCAAAAAAGGAACTGGTTCTATCCTTCATGGTACTCTAATGAAAGGTCTCAACCCATAGCCTCCTCCTCGCCTCCTTATCGTGATCGGATATAAATAATTACTTAACGTGAATTTTTGAACTTATTTTTCAGAATTTTTTGAATCATCAAACACATCATGAAAAAGAATTGGAAACCATTTTATGAGTGTACAATTCTGCGGGAGTGATTTTCCTGCAATCTTTCATCATCTACTTTAGTGACTTTTAGTGAAAATGGTACTGCACAAAGCCTAATCCTCTTTGGGACAAATGCGCAAAACAGCAATTACCTGAGGTTACGCTCGCTCCGTCGTTGATCACTTACTAAACCGGTTGTCAGTGCTGTTTAACACCGAGGGGGAGGGGGGAAGGAATTTCCTGTGATCTCTTAAAAAGTGAATTTATTTCTGTATTCACGAGGAGTTGATTATCAGTGCGATGTTGCTCTGTCCGATTGATTCGTAACTATTCCGCGACGGAAGTACCTTAATACAGTTTGATTGTTCGCTATATCTGTTGCCTACCTACTCGTCTCGTGCGGATTGCAGTTCTTAGCATCTTAGCAATGCGAGTAGAGGCTCTCTCATTAACATTTCCACTATTTAAAATATGTTCTGCTTGAGCGATAATCGATTTTCAGATGAATACTTGCTATTGGCATTCCCACATGTACTTTTCGTGTTAAATAAAATTATGTTAACTGAAGGCTGGAGTAGAGCCACAACATTTACATGTTTCCTATGTTCATGCCATTTATTTATTGTACAAGTATTTTGATGGGTTTTTGTACTGAATATATTTATCATGTTTTCCACTGCATTTATGATGTCTTGTGTATTTCGTTTTTATGAACTTGTTTAATTGCATTTGATTTATCTGATTTTTATCATACAATTTGAGATGATTTATTTATGTGTATTTTCTCTTGCATTTTATTCCTGTCGGTGATTTAGTGGCCTATGCCGGGGTTTTTGTCCCGTAGAAGGTTTCCCTGGCATGATCTTGTTGTGTGAGTAATATATTTATTTGATCTTGTCATTTCTTACGCACAAAAGTTCTGTCTTTTATTTAATTCCCTTCCCGATTATGTCTCACGTCCCAACATATCCACCCATCCATATCGAGCCGACTCGGCTGCAGTAAAATTGTTATAAAAAACCTAACCTATGGTAATAACTTAATTTACAACGCAAATCTGTGTGAAAATGAATAGCTAATTGTTATTTTTCGCTGTTCTTCCACTGTTCTTTGTTGATAGTGGTTATTAAAGCGAGCAGTCTTTACTTTTAGACGCTTACAGAAATGTATCGCTTCGTTCTGCTATTTGTACTTTTTGCATCAGCACACAGCCAGACGGATATTTTGGGTAAGTGGATTTTTAACATTAACTGTTAAGCAGGAGAGTGTAAATGGCAGGAGGTGTAAGTGAACCTTCTAGCACCTGAAAACATATACGAAGAGCATTTTGTGGTAGGTAAATTCTCCGCAAAGGCTCAAAATGTAAATGTTCAACAAGAACTGACTCAGGTGAATTAATTTAGTAATGTAAGCATAAACGATATGGTGCGGAAAGCAGTTGTTTATGTCCGTCTCGTTCCCACGAACACAAATGGGATAGTTACACAAGTCAAATTTAATCAACTTTAGTACTCGTAGTTTGCCCAATTATTTCGTGTTTATTTAGAAAAATTGACTACGCAATAACTCAGCTTTAAAGATCATTATTAGATCAAAATTCAAAATTATTGTTTTTATTTAAATCCATAAGACATTCTATGATGATAAGGTTTGCAGATGTTTTCTTTGTGTAGATTTTCCTTATTGTTTGGTAAGCTTTGTTTTCGTAGAAAATGTTAAGGGATTTAGATAACAAAAATTTTGTTTACGTAATAATAGTGAAATTGCAGTTTTTTCTTTCTTTTTTAATTTTACGAATTTTACAATTTTTTGATTTTCCAAATGTTCATGTTTTTTATCTAAGTATTTATTTATCTAGGAGAATTTTTTTGTATTTTCTACTTTCCCAAATTTTTTCTTAAATTTTCAGTTTTCCCAATTTTTACATAAGCTTTTCTAACCTTTTGGACCTTATTCCGTTTGTATTCTCCGATTTTTTGGAATTTTTAAATGGTCTTTTTTGATTTTTTATGGTACTCCGTCGACTTACCTCGAAAATTCCAAATTTAAAATTTATTTATACATTCTATGCCCTTATAATTCTTTATATATTTTTTTGCATTAGAATTCACTTTAAAGATCTTTCATTTTTCTCAAATTTCCGATTGTTTGTGTTCCTTTAAATCCGGGTGTGGGTTTTTTTAAAGTTTTTTTTCCAAATTTTTAATAAATTTTCCAAACGTCAGATTTTTAGTTCCACCGTATAACTAAAAACTTCTATTTTATTGTATTTTAGGCACTTTACCGCAACAGACAGCATTTACTGAAATTTTTTATATTTTAAGTATACGCTAAATTTTTTTTTTTCTAACAATTTTATTTGTAATATTTTAATATTGTAACCTTTTCTTAAAAAAAAACTTCTATGTTTAGATTGAAAAAGCATTTTCATCAATTTTCTTGTCTTCCTCATCCGAATTTACTTAATTTTTTTTAATTTTTCAAATTTTTTAAAATGTCCGAAGGTTTACGCGATTCTTTAAATTCTAAAACCTAAAATATTTATATTTAAAATTTCACGAATTCTCAGAAATTTATTTTAATTTTTTAAAATAGGTACTCATGAAATGTTTTAAAAACATTTTTGAACTTTCACATCTTTCCCGAGTTTTTTTTAATGTTTCCATTGTTTTTTAAAATTTCTCCTTTTAACTGTGTAAGTTTATCTACTTTATTTAAAATTCTTCACATTTTTGGATTTCCAGAGTTTTTTTAATTTCCAGAGTATTCCAATCGACCATTGCATCCTGCGTTGCAACCCCCAAGTTTTACGTTGTACCCAAAAATGCCTACAACACTCACTAGTCATGATATCGACGGAGGAATATCACTCACCCCCCGAAAAATCGATAGCCTTCCTTGAAAAATTATGATGAAAGAAATTGCATTTTTAATCGTTTTGGAGAAAACTCAGCGCTCCGAGGGGTCTGGGGAGTATTCAGCAAACTGAAATATAGATGGTTTTACCCCAAAGATTATCCTAGAACTCTCACTCACAGTTATGGTAATTTTCGCGGGAGGTCCATTCCATCTTGAGTTGCTGGGGGGTATTCAATACCCCCCAGACCCCCCGGTTTTATCCTGTCCCCAAAAATGCTCAAAACACTCACTAGACAGAATATCAACTGAGGGATGTCATTCACCCTCCGTTTTGAAGAAAACATAGATGCGGGGTGGTCTGGGGGAATGAAAGGGGGAAGGGGGAGTTCTATATCCCCCAGACCCCCGAAAAAATTATTATGCAAAATTCAAGTCGCAACGGCCGTGTGAGCTTAGAAGAGCACGCTCTGCCTAATCTGTAACAGATAACAACACAAACAAACAAGAAGGGTAGTGAATAGTGCGGTACAATAAGAATCAATAATTCAATTAATAAACAAAAGCAAAATTTTGACTCGGCCACGGATTGTCCTTACGATCGGTGATATATATTTTAGCGAATAGTCCAGAAATCCCGATAGACATCGAGGCGCCATCAAGGAGCGATAAAGAATGAAGGCGGATGTGACGTAATCTTTCATGGAAATATGACGAGTTTGTTCAAGAACATTCTGAAGCGTCCTTAAGCAATCGAGAACATTCTAGAAAGAATGCTGTATAAGTTCCAACATCGACGCGTTATGTTATAAATAGTCAATCCGCTCTCTTTGACTGCGCCTTCCAGAATTCCAGTGGCGTAACACTTTGGTGCTTCGGGCAGCAATGTTTGTCTTTCTAGTCCGTTGTAACTAAAATGAAATCACTTTGCAGGACAAATACACATATGCAAACGTTCCGATCCGAAATTGAACGACTGCCTAAAATCGTCCATCAAAGGCGCGCTGAAGATTTTGGCCAGCGGCGTTCCCAATTTGAAGATACCCTCGATCGAACCCATCCAAATCGACAAATGGACGATTCATGCGAGCGACGCCTTGCCGTACGAGCAAAACTACGAAAACCTCAATTTGACCGGTTACTCGAACATTGAGATTGAAGACGTTTAGTAAGTGTCATAGTTGATTTTCAGTCCATAGATTTAAATGTGAATTTCAGCACGAATATTGGCGACGAGTACTTCAGTATTCACCTGATGTGTTCCGCTCCGAAACTGCTGGTGCAAGGTGACTATACGTACTACCTGGTTAAGCAAACGAAAGAAGACCTTAGCAGTCAGGGCACAATGGAGTACAAATACGGTAAGTATCCTCGAGGGCGGCGGTAAGCTAAACAGGCTTGGGCATCCGTAGATCAGCACAAATTCTTCGTAAAGTTGGACGGTGATTTCATCGAAAGAGACGACGTCGAGTACGCCGAAATTACTCAGACCGACTTCAGCATGGTGAGATTGCATTCGTTTGAAATGACGTTTATGACGGAGGACCAACAAATCGGGGATAAATTGGGAGAGTTGGTGAATGGTGGTTCTCGAAAGTTGGCGAGCGTCAACATCGGAGAGTACGAGAACATGTACGCGTCGGCTTTTCATCGCATTGCCAAGGCCGTATTTGCTGCGTACCCGTGCAACAAGCTATGGCCTAAGTAGAAAGAAATGTTAAAGCGTAGTTTAGCAACGCATTTGCATTTAGTTCAATGCGTGTTGCTAATAGAAAGCACTGTGAAGTAATAAACATTTAAATATTAGGATCACACACTTTTAATTTTGTGCGTTTAAACATCCGCTATTGTTCGTATTTACCGTAATTGTTCCTGTATCTTAAATTATCCTTTATAAATTCTCGCTTTTAAACCTTACGCATTTGTTTTACATCACATAGGGAAGTTTTCACATGTACCGCTTCAGATCGAACGTGAAAGGTAGTATGTCCGGTGATAACAAGCAACGTATTGCGGAAAGCTCAAGCAAAATCTAAGTCTTATCACGATTAATTTGTACAGAACGTTTCGTATTTTTTCCCAGAGTCCTCCTCCCTTTATTTTGGTGCCGTTTATAAAATTACTGCTGCAAATTTATTCGTCTTACAGACAAATATGTGAAGTAGAATTAGTTCTGTTTGTTATGTTTATAAATTGTGTGTCCATCGGCAGTAGTAAAAGTGTTAGTGATCCAGTAATTGATAATAAAATAACCCATGGTAATAACGTAATTTACAACGCAAATCAATGTGAAAATGCATAGTTAATTGCTATTTTTTTCACTGGTCTCCCACTTTTCCAGATTGGTGCGTAGGCAGCTGGTGATCATTTACGCGAGCTAATTAATAGACAATCTTTACCTTCAGAGATGTACCGCTTCGTTCTACTCTTTGTACTTGTTGCATCAGTACACGGTCAGGCGGATATTTTGGGTAAGTGCATTTTTGACATTAACTGTTATATCGGGAGGGTATAAATGGCAGGGGTGTGCACAAGATAGCTCAAAACGTATCCGAAAAGAATCTTTTGCCAAAAAAATTCTCGGTAAAGGCTTGGATATTATGTCTAAAGCTAGATGCTAGCGGTTCATGTTCTCCTGATAATTGTAACTGCAAGAAACACCATCGGCCATAACTAATTCACTAGGTACCAACATTAGTGTAGAGATATTTCATCTATTCTAACAAGCGAAAGAAGCAGAACACGGATTGAGAAACGTATGTCTTAGGGGCAAAGGTACCAGGAGAGCAGTTTTGAAAATTTAATAATGCGCAATAAAAACTACTCAAGGGGAATTAATTTAGTAACACACGTAAACAGTATGGCCTGGAAATCAAACTTAAAATTTGTGTTTTTCGTTCCCACGAATATAAATGGAACAAGTCCAATTTAAATAACTAATTGAATTCGTATCATTTCGTTACAAACTTCATTTATTTAAATATATATAATATACAAACAAGTATAAATTGTGCACAACTCTTGTGCAGATAAAGCGCATTATTTTTTACCGAAATAGCTTTTGTTTTGACATCACCAATGGATATATTTCTTGCAGACGTCTCAATCGCCCTTTGTGAGTACCCTCTTCCGACAATCCGTTCTTGAGGTTTAAGGGAATATACCCGATCACGATAAGAGGTCGAGGAGGAGGGCTATGATTAGTAGAAATTAATTCCTTTCGTTGAGACCGTTCATTAGACTAGTCCCACTCCCCCCACCCCTCCCCCTCCACCCCGTACTTTGATAGTAAACGGTTCCTTTCGTTGAGACCTTTAATTAGAATACAATGAGAGATAACATTAATTTTAATCCCCCCCCCCCCACCCCTCAGGACCCGTCGCTCACTGATCTCGAAAAAGAGTCGAACGGGAAAGTTATACTTTGTACAAACCAATTTATTTCGATGAGACCTTTCATTAGAATACCATGAAGGGGTTTCCCCCCCCGCCCCCAACATTTTTTTATAGTTTAACTTGGCACCATTAAAGGCATGCGTATGCAAAATCTGAGACCAATTGGTTGCGTATGTAAAAGTTATGCACGTTTTACTTTCAAAAACAAAATCTCAAGAAATAATTCGTGGGGGGGGGGGGCTTTTAGACAGCGAAATTTGATGGCCGTCTGGCACACCTTCCAGGATTCTAGGGACATTCCCCTAGAAGTAGTTCGAAACGCCAGAAGTGGGTCCGGGCGGTCATGATATTGGCTAAGGGACGCAAAAGAAGAAAAATCGATGGCCTCCCTTGAAGTAATGATGTGGTGTTAAATGACATTTTCAAGGACATACAAGGTCAATGGCAAAGTTGTGAGGTGTCAAATTACATGTTAGATGTCATCCACGGATAATGACCTCAATTCTTGTGACAAATTACGTTTTCAATGCCATCTATGGCCGATGACCTGAATTGTGGCGTCAAAATACATTTTCAATGTCATCCATTTTTGTGTCGTCAAATTACAATTTCAAGGACATCCAAGGTCGATGCCGGCATTTTTATGTGGTGTCGAAATCATCCAAGGACAATGAGCCCATTTTTTTAAATGTCGGATTACTTGTTCAAGGTCATAGATCTCATCTCTTGTAGTGTCTAATAACATTTAATTAAATAGGTCATCCAAGGTCAACAGACTCATTGTTTGCGGTGTCAACATATATTTTCAAGGTCATCCGCGGTCAATTATCTAATTTTTATGTGGTGTCTAATTACATTCTCAAGGTCACCCTAAGGGCAATGAACCCATTTTTGTGGTGTCAAATTACATATTTCCAGGTCATAGCAGGGCAATGGCCTCATTTTCAAGTGGTGTTTAATTACATTACTGAGCTGATCCAAGGTCAATGAACCCATTCTTTGTGGTATCAAATTATATTTTCAAGGACATAGAAGGTTAACGCCCCCCATGTATTGCGACCTCAAATCAATGTCAATGAATTTAATTTAATGGGGGATGACAGACTACATTTTCAAGGTCATAAAAGGGCACTTTCTTCAACTTTTGTGGTGTATAATTAATTATAAAGGTCATCCAAAGTCAATAAACCCATTTTTTTGGCGGCGTCATGTTACATGTTGGAGGTGATCCAAGACCAATGGTCTCATTTGATATGTGGTGTCTAATTACATTCTCAAGGTCATTCAAGGTCAATGAGTTCATTTCTTATGGTGTCAAATCACATTCTAAGAGCACACAAGGTTTGAGGTCCCAAATTATTTTCTCGAGGTCATACAAGGTCAATGAAATCACTTTTATTTACTTTCTACACTCAAGGTCATCCAAGACCCTAATCTAATTCAAATTTTCAAGGTCAATCTAGGTGCAAAGTACATTCTCAAGGTCATCCGATTTTATTTCCAAGGTTAATGGTCACATTTTTGTGATGCATTTTCAATGTTATCAAATTTCAATTACGCCATTTTTGTTATGCTATCAATATCTATTTTCAAGGTTATCAAAAGAGGCCAAATTTTTGTGTTGTCAAATTAACATTTCGAGGTCACCCAATGGCAATGAACCCATTTTTTGTGGTATCAAATAACATTTTCAAGGCCACGGAAGGGCAATGGCCTCACTATTGTGGTGGCTAAATCCCGAATCCATTCGATGCCGTGAGATTGAGCCCCGTGTATGGTGCATTGCACAGTTCGAATGGCATGACTGTGAACTGCCATAATCCTGATCCAAAGGTAAAGGTCGTTTTTCGTTATCTTCTGGGAGCTAACTGGAGTCACTTTTTAAATCTGACGTTGTGAATACTCACATCATTTTCGTAAAAACAAAAACTCAGTTATTTCAAAAACAAAGATGGCGTGGGGCGTTCAATTGTTTTTGCAATAACCTGCTTTAACTTGTTAACCGTTTGACCGATTTTAACAAATTTGGTATGGTTGAAAAGAGCATTCCTTGGGCAACAAGAATCAAATATAGTTAATTTAGTTGAATCCTTCTCCGCCAGGGGGCTAGTTTTGACACTTATGACCCAAAATCCTAAAAAAATCACATTTGCGTTATCCGATTCGACCACGAATCGGCATTTCAGGAAAGATTACAAATTCAAAAAACTGCACTTTCTGAATGTAAACACAGCAGAATAATTTACAAATTACGGCTGTTATTATTTTATAAAGCATCGTGTTTCATTTGTTTAATTTTCCAAGGCCTACTTAAAGGTGTATTTTCTTTTCTTTCGCGCCATCGACAATTACCGGAAATACGTAAAAAGTAAATTAAAAGATACAATTTAAGCATTTTAATTAATTAATTAATTAATCTCATTTTCGCAATATTTGAGGTTAAGAACGAGATTTTTAAAAACGGTTTTCACTGGCCTCTTTGGATGTTATTTGGCTACTTTTTACATAAAGAAAAAGTCATATCATTACATTTGATTTTTTTAGGATTTTGGGTCATAAGTGTCAAAACTAGCCCCCTGGCGGAGAAGGATTCAACTAAATTAACTATATTTTGGTTGATTCTCATTGCCCAAGGAATGCTCATTTCAACCATACCAAATTTGTTAAAATCGATCAAACGGTTAAGAAGTTAAAACAGGTTATTGCAAAAACAATTGAACGTCCCACGCCATCTTTGTTTTTGAAATAACTGAGTTTTTGTTTTTACGAAATTGATAGATAAACTGGTTCTCTTTAAAATGTGAAAAAAATTTTGTAGTTTATTATGCAAAATTGAAAGAAAAAGCAATTTTAAAATTTAAGATGGCAGTTACGCCCTCTGTTGGTCATTTTTCGAACTATTTTCCAGCGATTCTTCATGACCGATTTACCCAATAATTTGTTTACCCCTAAGTCATATCACGAACGTACGGTTCTCGAGATATGGCCGAGGGACAGTCTTATTGGGTCACCCGGTACTTCGGCAGCATATTCTTGTTACCCTCCTCCGTTATAACTAAAATTAAATCACTTTGCAGGACAACTACAAATATGCAAACGTTCCGATCCGGAACTGAACGACTGCCTAAAATCGTCCATAAAAGGCGCTCTGAAGATTTTGGCCAGCGGCGTTCCCAGTTTGAAAATACCCTCGATCGACCCCATCGAAGTCGAGAGATGGACGATTCATGCGACTGACGCCCTGCCATACGCACAAAACTACGCAAACCTTACGTTGGCCGGTTATTCCGACATTGAGATTGAAGACGTTTAGTAATTATCGCAGTTGACTTTCAGTCGATTGCTTTAAATGTGAATTTCAGCACGAATTTTGGCGACGAGTACTTCAGTATTCACCTGATGTGTTCCGCTCCGAAACTTCTGGCGCAAGGCGACTACGAGTACTACCTGGATAAACAAGCGAAAGGAGAAGACCTTAGCAGCAAGGGCAAAACGGAATGGAAATACGGTAAGTATCCTGCCGGGCGTCGGAAGCTATACTTTGGGATCCGTAGATGACCACAAATTCTTCGTCAAGTTGGACGGCGATTTAATCAAGAGAGGCGACGTCGAGTACGCCGAAATTACTCGAACCGACCTGAGCATGGTGAGATTGCATTCGTTTGAAATGACGTTCAAAACGGAGAACCAACAAATCGGGGATAAATTGGGAGAGTTGGTGACCGGTGATTCTAGAAAGTTGGCGAGCATCAACGTCGGAGGGTACGAGAACCTGTACGCGTCGGCGTTTCATCGCATTGCTAACGCCGTATTTGCCGCGATTCCGTTCGACAAGCTATTGCCCAAGTAGAAAGGAATGAAAAAGCGTAGTTTGGCAACACAGCCCCATTTTGTTCGATCCGTGTTGCTAATAGAAAGCACTGTGATGTAATAAACATTACACTTACTTACACTTACACTGATCCTTGGTAATGATCAACCTGAGCCTCCCTCCTCAAACTTGTAAGGGTTACCGAAGACAATTTTGCTTGCGTCTGTTAGTGTTCTTTTGTCATTACGCCTATGCTGTCGCCACTTACACAGCACTAAGTGTCCCTTCACACCGGGGCACTTAGCAGCGCGACTGAGTCGCCTTAACACGCAACACAGTCGCACATTCAGCGGCTTCGTCTCGCGACTGGATTTGAACGTGCAACTGTGTCGCGGGTTAAGGTGATTCCGTCGCGCTGCACTGCGTTCCGTTCCGCTGCTCAGCAGCGCGACTAAGCAGCGCTGCTAAGTCGCCCAGTGTAAAGGGGCTCTAACGCGTTCTAACGTGGCGAGTTCCGTCGTGGTTCCACGCTAAACGCTCATTTTTTTATGCGGACCGCACACCCGGAATGACTTCCGAAATTCTCTCCCGACTTAATCCCCACACGTGATTTTATATTAAAAATACGCGTTCAAAATAGTTGCTAATTGGTTTCAACGGCCACCTTGGTTCGACTGACGGTACCAACTTTTCGCACGCAATTAATCGGCCAGTGCCGTACCCTAAAACACAATAGAGGGAGAAACCTGCCCTAAAATGAGATCACAGTAGGTATACATCTTACAAGTACTCAAGAGAAAAATGGCGAAACCATAAAGAAACTTAATTTGAGGAAACCACCATTAAAACCGTTCCAACTAAAAAATTCGAATTTAAATTGCGCCTACGGCCATGTGCCCTAACTACTATTTAAAAGTATTGTCAATACCCCCCAGGCAGACAATTTTCTCCTCTTAGAGAAGAATGTGGAACGGATGTGGTCTAGAGGGTATGGAATACCCAACACCTCCAGAAGAAAACCATAATTTTTGGAAAGAGTCTCTATAGCTGAACGGTGTGGGGAGGGGGGGGGGGGCCTTGCCACTGACATCAGAATTTTAAATACCAATACCACAATGGCATCTTGCGGTATCCCTATGCACTTAATTAAAAGTACAGTCAGCATACTTCTAAAAGAGCAATTTGATAATGCCCATGATGTACTGGAATGTCATTAATTTGGCAAATACTCTAGCACGATCATATAATTATTACTAGATGGACGCAATAAACGTAAAGATAAAAGAAGAAAAATACAGCACCCAAACAGTAGTTGAGATGCTCACAGTAACTAGGTAATCGAGACGTAAAAATTACCACTGACTTCGACCAACGCCCACATACGTCTGACCACTTGAATCTATTTTGAATATAATCCCTCATGCCTGGTGTTATATTTTGGAAAGGAGAACTTAATACACTAACTTTTTGGATTAAAATTTACAAGACTTTCTTCCATTTGTAAAAAAATGAGATTAAGATCACAGATAAACCGACCCCGTATACTTATTCTGAAAAAGGCAGACAACATTTTTGTGAAAATCGATCCTTGACTAGATTGTTGTCTCATAGATTGCTGTTCCCGTATAAACTACAGTCGATTAAAATAAAATTTAGATTCATTCAACTGTTATAATAAAAAAAGTGGTTATTAACAACATCATTCTATACAATAAAATGTAAGTACATCGGTAAAAATATTACATCATAATTACAATAATAAAAGCCAACAGTTAAAAAAGTAAAATTAGATCTTAATCATAATCGTACTCGTGTTTCCCCAACATGCGAGGGAAAAATATACCACACAAAACTATCAGTAAGGCGGCAAACGCTATGAATATGTATATACCATAGAGCTTCTTCTTGGACCGTTGTGCCTAAAAATAAATTCATATAGGACCGCTAGTTTAAAAAATGGCTTTGAATTTTGGTGTACATTTGCTTCCACGAATCTTATGAGAATTGATTTTTCTGAAATTTCGTCATAATTTTTCTAATCCATTATGAGAATCAAATTTCTTTTAATTTCTCTTTCCAATATTCTGAATTTCGAATTTTTCATTTTCATGTTCTGCCCTTCATGGTATTCTAATGAAAGGTCTCAATCAATAGTTCTCTACAAACTTGATCTTTTAATTTTTTTGATTTTTTAAATGCCTCCTTGTAATTGTTTCTTTTTTCAATATTTTACTATTTCAAATTTTCCGAAATTTCATGAGTTTACCATGCGCCACGATTTTCACTAGTTAATGATTTCTCGTTTTTTTTTAACTCTATTAATTTGGAAAACTCTCCAAATTTTGCAAGTTTTTTTTAATTTTTCTGTAGTCGTTTTCGTCGATTAGTATAAAAACAGACGAAGGTAGCCGCCCACTGCAAAACTTATGTCTCTTTCTTCGCATGGGCTAGATAGAGATGAAAATATAACAGCATAATTTGTGCACACATCATAGGCGACCAGTTTTAAAGTGGGCGGCCACCTGCGATCATTGAAGTGACTGTTTTCATTCTAGAAGAGCGATAAGGACTCTCATTGCACTTAAAAAACAATTTAATTTTCCATTCTGGATAAAAATTTTCATACGTTCAAAGGACTCTTCTGAGTAGTAAAGGGTAAAGGAGTCGCAATAACCCCCCCCCCCCCTATATACGAATGATTTCATGATGATGATTGTAGAGAAAGAGAGTCGCCAAACGTTTCTGTACTAGGGAGTATGGGGTTTGACTGGGGGGTTTTCTATAACCCCCCCCCCCCAATTAAAACTTCACAACAGGGCCTCTTTAAGAAAAATAATAATTTCTGAACAAATATTCCTCCATACATTCGAAGGCCCTTTCCAGAAATGTATAAGGCGAGTAGTAAAGGGCACTTCTCATGTTGGTTGACAATATCGAACCGCTCCCAACCCGAAATTGACTCCTGTATAATAATGATTGTAGATAAAGAGACTCATGAAACGTTTCTGTATTGAGGAGTATGGTATTTGACCGAGGGGTCTCAATACTTCCCGCCCCCCCCCCTCCCCTAACGGGCCCTATACACGAATGATTGTAGAGAAAGAGAGTCATCAAACGTTACTGTACTGGGGAGTATGGGGCTTTGGCTGGGGCTATTAGCCCCCCCCCATCTGAAATTGGCTCCTGTATAATAATGATTGTAGATAAAGAGACTCATGAAACGTTTCTGTATTGAGGAGTATGGTATTTGACTGAGGGGTCACCATACCCCCCCCCCCTCTCTATACACGAATGATGATTGTAGAGAGAGTCATCAAACGTTACTGTACTGGGGAGTAGGGGTTTGACTGGGGGTTTTCTATAACCCCCCCTCCCCCTTAAACCTTCACACCATGACCTCTTAAGAAAAACAATTTAATTTTTGGACAAATATTCCATACATTCGAAGGCCCTTTCCTGACATGTATAGCGCGAGTACTAAAGGGCACTTCTCATGTTGGTTGAAAATATAAAACCGGGGGGTTTGGACCCCCCCCCCCCCCATATGATTGATTTCATGAGGATGATTGCAGAAAGAGTAATCGAATGCGTCTGTACAGGGGAGTGTTGTGTTTGGCGGGGGGGGGGGGGTATTCTATCCCCCCCCCCTCCCGTAGTTGCCGCCCTGCCTTAAAACTTCATCCTAAAGACCACTTAAAAAACGATTTAATTTCTTTTCTGCGCAAATATTCCATACGTTCACAGACCCTTTCCTGAAATGTATAGTGCGAGTAGTAAGATATGGCACTTCGCATGTTGGTAGAAAATATAGAACCGGGTATACGAATGATTTCATGATGATGATTGTAGGGAAATAGTCATCAAACATTTCTGTACTGGGAAGCATGGTGTTTGATCAGGAGGTATTTTATAACCCCGGATGGGGGGGTGGTGGTATGAATAGCCCCAGTATATGAATGCTTTCATGATGATGATTGCAGAGAAAAAGAGTCAACGAATGTGTCTGTACTTACTAGAGAATATGGTGTTTGGCTTGGGGGTCTTCTATACCCCCTCCCCGTCGACCGGTATGGAATATAAATGATTTCATGATGATGATTCTAGAGAAAGAGAGTCATCAAACGTTTCTGTACTGGGGAGTATGGTGTTCGGCTGGGGTATTAGCCCCCTCCCCTCCAACCCGAAATTTGCTCCTGTATAATAATGATTGTAGATAAGAGACTCATGAAACGTTTCTGTACTGAGGAGTATGGTATTTTACTGGTGGGTCTCAATATCCCCCCCCCCTATATACGAATGATTTCATGATTATGATTGTTGAGAAAGACAGTCATCAAATGTTTCTGTACTGGGGAGTATGTTGTATGGTGTTTGGCTGGGGGTATTATCCCTCCCCCCACCACCACCCCGAAATTGGCTACAGTATAATAATGATTGTAGATAAAGAGACTCATGAAACGTTTCTGCACTGAGGAGTATGGTATTTGACTGGGGGAGTATTAGACCCCCCCCACCCCCATTAAAACTCATCCTAATATATGAATGATTTCATGATGATGATTGTAGAGAAAGAAAATGCTCAAATGATTCTGTACTGGGGAGTATGCTGTTTGGACGAGCGGTATAAAATACCCCCAGACTCCCCGGAACTGCCTCCTGCATTAAAACTTTCATCCCTAAGGACTCTCATTACATTTAAACGAACAATTTAATTTTGCTTTCTGTACAAATATTGCATACGTTCAAAGGCCCCTTCCTGAAATGTGTGGGGGGGAAGGGGGGGAGGGTATAGTAGGGGGCACTTTGAATGTTGGTTGAAAATATAGAACCGGGGGGTTGAAATCCCCCCCCGTACACGAATGATTTTATGATGATAATTTGATTTACTCTTTTTTTTTTTAATAATAAAGGCAATATTATTATTATTGTAGTCAGCAATAATGTTTGTATACTGGGGACTGTGGTGTTTGGCTCACTGACATTTCCTTACGTCGATTATGCTTTAAAACATCCTCACTATTTGTAGCATAATTACACTGACCACAAATTAAACAATCCTACTTTTCAATGTGTCGTGCGTTAATAAATGACGATTTAAATTTTTCTTAACATCATAGAGTGAACGTAATGTGCCGCTTTAAGTTATACTAAGCAGGAGCAATTACACTGTTCACAAATCAAATGTTTGAGAAGGTTGTGTGTTATTAGGTGACGCTTTAAGTGAACGCTTCATTACACTAATAGTAGAGATAGAAGGTTATTTAAGGTGGAGTGTGACAAAGAACGAGGTGATTTTGTGTTGTGTAATTGCACTGTTCACAATTAAAGTTCTTGAAAGTAAGGTGATAAAATGAGACGTTTTAAACTATCCTCTCTCTTTAAAGAGTAATTATTGCAATTGTATTTACTTTACAGCCCTAAACACTATAATATTGATTACGTTTGGCCATTGTAAACAAACAAAATGGCGGTCTTATACCACCAATAGTAATTACAAGTGCTGCCGCCAGAGGTCTCACTGAATTTAATCTTTATTAATTTTCAATTCCTCTTTAAAACTTTTTTTATGCAACTCTTGGAATGGTATTAATTTTCTGAATTTAATAACTTTAATTCTTCAATTTTTGATTTCATGAATTTTCTAATTTTGAATTTTTCTAACCTTCCTTATAGTGAAAAAGTAGCGTTTTGACATAGAGGTCAACCAAAACTTACATTTTCCCAGTCACACCTGCTAAAATTTAACGGAATGGTGGGATCATTCGACGCACAAGTCACATTTCCGGGTAGTGAATATGACGGTATGAACACTTGGAAATTTTCGAACAAAATTTGTTCCACACCAACACCTCCTTCTATCGCTAAAAATGTAACCAGAGAGTAATTAACGGTCTGCGGAAAATCGCTGTAGGGACGGCCGTTGATAAAAATCTGAAACATCCAATAATGTTAGATTTGTATATAAAGGGTGTCCCACGGCTAATGCCATCTATGTATATCTTAAGGTGACCTCAGAAGATTTTGACAATGTATGGAATGGAACACCCTGTATATCATAAGCTAAAACACCCAGTACGACCACCTGAACCTACCTTATAGTGAAACTGATCGCACAAAATTAAAATCTCAAAGTTCTCGCCGTAATCGAAGGGAATACCGGGCACGGTGCACTCCTTCCCCCAGCTGTCTCTCTCCTTCCAATTAAACGTCGTGTTATTATTCGACAAATTGAAGACGACGTGTAAGGCGGCGTCCGTTTGTACCCGCACGTCCGAGCCGCAGTACAAAGTGACCGTAAATCTGTAAATAATCGAAGTGAGTTGCCGGAACAATAGGCGCAAGGTAAAAGTACGATGGTACAAGTTGTTAATAAAGATGACGATGAGAAAGCCGGTAAGCGCATATTAAAAAATGTCGTGTGGTTATTTACAATTCTCGCGAATTAAAGACACCAACGTCCATAGCCCAACAAAAGCCTAAACGTACAAGTTTTACCTTGACGATCCCTGCGGTACGGCGCATCGTATCTTTATCCCTTTGCCTGGCGTAAAATTATTACCTATCGGTATAATAGTCGGTATACTCTACAAAAATAAGATAAGGGTGTAGAGTGAGCGGACCACAGAACGATTAAGGTAATCTTAACTATAGGGCCTAATAAAAGTAGAACGCTCAATTGAAAGTGTCATGGTAACTTTAAACTTAGCTGCAAAATTGCAAGAAGGTTTCTTTACCGTTTGTCGAGCTAATTCCATGCTGGCTATTTTGTGTGCTTTCTAATATTAATAGTACTAAACTGGGGCATTAGGTAACCATAACCTAATTTCGTTGTTGACGTTTTTAAATTTGACGTTTGCTTATCCATCACTCTGAAGTTAGGTTTGTTAGATATTGTTATAGGTTGCATTCAGCCATGATACAAAGAAAACAAGTACATATGGTAAATTGCCGTTCCAAATTCGCCTAGTCTGCGGCACGCGGAGCTAAAAATTTGAATTTAAAGCAGGACTCGTATGGGATTTGTTTCTCAATTTTGTAATGGAGTATGTAGTGTACTTAACATATATGACTTAACCCCCAGGTTCTACACTTACTTCACACTACAAGAACACGGAAATACAGTCAACCCGGCAACGTTTAAAAATGGCAACCCGAATGACTATTCCCCTTAGACCATATAGTACTATATGTACTATATGGTCTTAGGTCTAAGCTATTCCCTCTAAAACTAAACAAGATCCCGCTTAAATTTGAAAAATGGCACGTGATCAAACATCTAATCTTAATAATGATCGTAATTACTCGTATTAAGATTGTGAAAGCTCCGAAATTTAAGTCGAAATAAATTACATTGCAAAAATAAACTTTGAAAATGGTAGTTCGCCGAATAAAAATAGAAATGGGCTGGGGAAAAAAGAACTTACCAATAAAAAAAACCATCCGTCAAATTAATACCAAATTGTGTTGTAAAATTATTGTTTGTAATGATGTGAATGCGTATCATAAAATTATAACATCACAAAAACTAGCAGGTAAACTTCTAGAGGTAACATATAGGTTAAAAACAAGTTTTGGGAATTATGGGTCAGGTAAGCAGGTACCAAGATTCTAAGAAAGGGTGAAATACACAGGATGCGACTCATCTTTGGTGCAATAAAGTCCTTTTGTTAAAAGCAAGATGGAAAATTACATGGCCTTGTAGGCAAAATTAACTAAAAACAAGATATGTGGAAATTATTGAATCGCCACTCATTTATCGCACATAGATGCTTGTGTAAGATAGGTAACCCGCCCCTAGTTTCGATCCTATAGTTGAAAGTCGAAGACAATCACGGAATTAGGTGTCGTAGCTCAATTTTGACTACAGTTTTTTCCACCCCGTGACATACATCAAACGAATCGGTAATTTCCACATATTAAAATAAAATGGTCAAAACTTATATGAATGTAACTTCAGGGACAAGACCAAGTACGTAACCCCCATTCGTGCTTTTTAGATGGCGCAGGCAGCTTTTTCCCACCTAGAAATTGCATGGTTGCCAACTCTCAAAAATGTATGTATAGTCGTAAGTATATACAGGGTGGAACCTTTCAAGTACATTCATTCACCAAGTTTGAAAAAAAGTTAAATTTGGGAATTTCTGAAAATTTGATTATTTGAGATTTTTGATAGTTTAGGTACCTTGGCCTTAAGGTTTTTTGACATTTTGGGCATTTAAAATATTTAAATATTAGATTAGATTAGATTCTGAGATTTTCAAAATTTTGGGAATTAGAAACTGGATGTTTTAGGTGTAACTTTTGAGATTTTGTTAGTTTGAGAATGTAGGATTGTAGTACATGAAGTTTTGAGAATTTTAGGATTTAGGGGCTTTGAAGATTTGAATAATTTAGATTTTGTGATTTAGTTTTTGAAATTTAACATTTTGAGATTTCTAAAATTTGGAGAATTTTATATTTTAGGGATATTAAAATTTTGAAATTTTTTTTTTTTTTTTTTTTTAAATTTTAGAAATACGAAAAGTTGAAACATTGAAATTTCCAAAAGATTAGAAATCCTTAGATTTTAGGTATTCCAAATTTAGTGGAGTTGAGAGTTCTTGAAAGCTTGACATTTTTAAAATGGGAGTTCACGATGTTGAGAATGTTATCATTAGAAATTCTAAGAATTTGAGATTTTGGTATTTCTAAAAGCTCGAGAATTTCCGATCGTAGCATTTTTAAAAGTTTTGAAATAGGTATAAGATTTTTTCAAACTTTGGAAAGTTTGGTTTCTGGGAACTTTCAAATTTTAAGAATATAAAACTTTTTGAAATTTCAGGAAATTGAGATTTAAGATTTTTCAAACTTACTAAAATCTTTGAAATTTGATCTTAGATTTTGGAATTCTTAAAATTTTGATAATTTGAGATTTTGTGGTTTTTGAAACTTTTAGATTATGTAATGTTTGAGATTTGTGGAGTTTGCTAGTTTGAGGATGATTATAGGGTTATTCAATTTTTGATTAATTTAGATTTTTGAATTTAGCATTTAAAAATTTTGAAAATTTAAGATATAAGAATCTTTACATTTTGGGAATTTGAGATTTTGGGAAATAATAACAGATTTAAAATTTGGAAATTTTGAATTTTAGGAATTTTAATTTTCGGATGTTCGAAAAGGAAAGTCGCTACGTTGAAAATTTTACAATTAGAAACCTTTGAAATTCGAAATTATGGAAGACTTGGATTTGAGTGGTTTTGGAATTTTAAAAACTTGAAAATTTGGAAATTATAAATTTAAGTTTTTTCAATATCAGGAAATTGAGATTTTGGGATTAGGTTATTTGAGACATCGAAACCTTTGAAATTAGAATTTTGGAATTCTTTGTTTTTCGAAAATTTGGGAATTTTCACATTTTGAGATTTTTAAAAGTTCAATAATTTAAGATCTTGGCATTTTAAAAATATGAAATTTTAGGATTTTTAGAATTCTGGAAATTTTAAGAATTTATTTGGAAATTATAAATTAACATTTTTGAAATATTAGGAAATTGGGATTTTTGAAATTTGAGTATATGGGATACTGATCTCTTTGAATCTTAGTAATAGTTTTGGGAATTTAAGATTTTAGGATGTTTGAAATTTTGGGAATTTTAAATTGAGTTTTTTTTAAATTTTGCAAATTTGGGATTTTGAAAATGTTAGTTCTTTGGTATTTGAAATTCTGGGCATTTGTAATTTACGATGGGTGGCTTCTCAGTATTAGGTGGGTGGTTCTACATCCCAAAATTAGGGATCAATGTTTTCGTTAATAATTTTCAAATAAATTAGAATTTTTTATTATAACAGAAATTTATCATGAGAAATCTGATCGTACGTAAACCTTGGAAAAATACTGCATATTTTACTGAAGTAATGGGGGGACTAGTCGGTTCGAAGTGCGCTATTTGCGAGTACGTAATTAGAAATACGGTTGTTTTGAGCCGCGGTAGAGCGAGCATTTTTAGGAAACGCTATAATTAAGGTAACGTACCACTTTTTTGATTTGTATAAAAAATACTGATGTTCTATTAAAAAATTGATGCATGGAACAAATTTCTATCATATTTAATAACTATAATTGAACTCATCTAGAAAGAATCTTGGGTGTTTTCAATCATTTAAATGGCAATATTTCTATAAATGAGCTCAATTTTATTAGCTATGTAATGTAACAAATAATTATGCATTTGAATTAGACACAAGCACGCCACACCGCTTTCGGAACAGGGCGAAGTGCAAAGTATGTGACTCATCTTTGTTGCAATTAAATCATCTTGTTAAACGCAACATGGAAAAATACATACAGCAAACAATGCAGCTAGTTCCACAAATTTAAATTAATGATCATATAAATTTAACTTGGGGCCAAGACCATGTAATCAAAACATAAATTAAGCAAACGTTTACATAAAAAATGAAAGTGATTTGAAACAATAAAGGTTAACGGTATCAAACACGTGAGGTTAAATCAAGTCAATTTCAAAAGAAAGATTGGTTATCAATAAAAATATTCTCTTCTCAGCTCTTGCCTTCTGTGCCCGTGCAACGCAACAAGGATTTAATGGAAGTAAAACACATTCATCTAGGTCTTTGTGTATCAGTTCTTGATGGACGATGCAGTGTGAATTAAGAGATGTCGTTTGAGGTTACCCTTGACACTTGTTGCAAAATCACACTGGCCGCATTTAAAATCCTTGGCGTTGTGTGTCAGTCGATGCTGTTCGAGCGAGCTTTTAATACTCGTGGCGTAATCACACCGATCACATTCAAATTCCTTGCGGATCTTGTGCAATAAAAGATGCCGATTGAAAGAGGACTTATATTGTGTTGCAAAATCGCATTGAACACATTTAAAATCCTTACCATTGTTGTGTAGTAGTACAAGATGCTGTTTTATATACGATTTGTGATTTGTAGCAAAATCGCACTGGTCACATTTGAAATCTTTGGACGCTTTATGTATCGAGAGATGTCGTCTAAGCGTGCCCTTAACATTTGTCGCAAAACCGCACTGGTTACATTTAAAGTCCTTCGTTATCTTGTGTACTAGAAGATGTTGTTGGTAGGCGCCTTTGGTAGTTGTCGCATAATCACACTGGTCACATTTAAAATTCTTCGAAGCATCGTGCGTAAAAAGATGTTGTGCTAGGGCAAACTTGTAATTTGTCGCATAATTACACATGTGACATGTATAATCTTTTGAAGCTTTGTGTTTTATGAGATGTCTCTTTAGATAGGACGCACTGCTTGATGCATAATCACACTGGGTACATTTGAAATCTTTAGAAACTTTGTGGATTAAAAGGTGTTGTTTGAGATAGTCTTTTAAGTTTGTTGCGTAATTGCACAGGTCACATTTAAAGTTCTTGGTGGATGATGCCGTGTGAATTACGAGGTGTCGTTTGAGTTTGCTTTGGATGCTCGTTGCAAAATCACACTGGTCACATTTAAGATTCTTTGCATTGTGGATTAGTAGATGTTGTTTCAGAGAGCCTTTGATACTTGTTGCGTAATCGCAATGAGCACATTTAAATTCGTTGGGACCTTTGTGTACGAAGAGACGTCTATTTGTGCATTTCTTAAAAACTGTGCGACGTTTAATTGATTCGATATCAATTCCAGCAGTTTGTAGGGGTTTATTATGTGGAAAATCACAATTTTCTAGTAAAACAAATTGATCTTTCTGATTCACTTCGTTTTGATGGGCATTGATCGTCATTTCGTTAAGCTCCCGCTTTATCGAGGGGAAAGTATTGCTAAGAAAAACCTTTTCAGCGATTAATGTGTTTATCTCTTCTTCTTGGTTTGGTTCGACCTTAACAATTGTAGACATCACCCCCACAACTGCAAAAGAAGACTTGCATAATTATAACCAAAGAAATACTCACCAGGGAAGAGAAGCACGAAAATTATAGATTTTCCACAAATGCTATGTGCAACAGGCCTTTGACTACCGGCTTGGGAATAAATAACTTCATAACCTTACATTCCTTGATTGGCTGTGGCTATTCTCAAAACTTTTAATCTGTTTAACGAGTTGCATTTGTTTTAACTAATATACAGGGTAGTACAATAGTCACCAAATATAATCATTAAAAAAAGTTCTTATAGATATAGTGCAGACGTAGTGTACGCATAGCACAGATGCAGGTGTACGTAAAACGTGGGTTTATATGTGCCAGGAACTGGTAAACCAAAGAAACTCTTTCTATAACAAAGTCATTCTATACAATAAAATGTAATGTGACGGTCCCCCATGCGGCACTGTAAGCTTGACTTTCCCTATACTTACACCTGGCAGCCCTGTGGAACGATTACAAGCAAAGCCATCTAACTTTCATGTGGAAATGTTGAACGTTTCGCGCCATTTTCAAATCTCAGTAGCAGTCGGCTCGGACTGGATGGCGAGAATAGAACTCCATCACCGTTAGCACATCCCTAATACGAAAGTTTTTAAAAGTCTGCATTAACTTTCCTGAGCAATCTAGTGACGTATGGAGCATTTACAATTACATCATCTTTCCTTTCCAGTACTTTTCAGAGCTGTCTATGGTTTCTAGTACTTCTGTGCCCTGATGAAGTCTTCTTTACGCTCGCCAGTTTTCTAAATACCTCCCCAAGTTTCAAAGAAGTACTAACGCTGGAAAGTGCAAAGACGGGTGTAGACAGTTTTTTGCTTTCTTTATGATACAAACGTTATAGGTTACTTTTGAACATTATCCATCGTTCCTCTAAATGGGGTTGAGTGATATCAAAGATTAAGAAAATCGGATCTCAAAGCCTTCCCCATACATTTATAGTTGTACTATTAAAACACGACTATAGTTTCGGCGATAATCTCCATCATCATGTAAACTATAAATTAATTAAACTTACAAAATTGATCTCGAGCTGATTACTTACATTAATTATTATTGATGGAAGGTGTTGTACTTAAATTATTGAAAATTTTAGAAATTAGATTTTCAAAAAATTGGGAATTAGAAAATTTTGGCTTTCCGAAACTATGTATGTCTGGGAGTTTTTTTTTAAATTTTTAATTTGTTTTTATGATATTTGACGTGCTGGGCATTAGAATTTTTGGGATGAAATGTGTTAGAAGTTTAAATTTGGGAACTTTGGGCATTTGAGCTCTTGCGATCTTTTAAATTTTGAAGATTTGGACTATCCGAATTTTTAAAGTTCAGGAAATTTGAGATTTTGGTTTTTTTAAATTTTAGATTTTTTTTTAAATTTTATTTTATAGTGGGCGGAGTGTTAGCAATTTGCTACTCTTCCCACTCAACCCACTATACAATCACAAACAGCCATGCCTTACCTGGGATTCGAACCCAGGACCCTTGTACCCAAAGTTAGAGCTTCTAACGTAAGCTCATCTGAGCTACGCAGGTCGGCTTTTGAAACTTAATAATTGCGGAATTTAAGTTTGACAATTTTACACTTTAAAATTTTTGAAATTTTGGTTAAGTACAAAAGATTTTTGCAATTTGGGACTTTTAGGATTTTTGGAAAACGGGAATTTTGTTAATTTCAAATTCTAGGAATTCGAAATCTAGTTATTTTGAGAATTGTAGGTTTTGGGAATTTTAAAAACTTGGGAATATCCGATTGTAGTTGGCGAGAATTTTGCAAAACGTTTTTTGAAACATAGAATTTTAAAATTTTGAAACTGCGATTTTTGATATTTTGGGTACCTTAGCCTGTAAGGATTTTTTTAAATTTAGATCACTTAAAATATTGGGATTTATAAAGTATTGAGAAATTAAAGTTTTTTTGAAATGTTTGGATTGGAGATTTTGAGATTTTTTAAATGTTGAGAATTTAAGTTTTTGAGATTTTTGTAAATTTGAGAATTTGAAACTGGAAGTTTTATATTTTGTAATTTTTGTGATTTATGAATTGTTGAAATTATTAAATTTTTGAAATGTTGGGTATTTGTGAATTTCAAATTTGAGTTTATGGTATTTTGGATAACTTACCCTTTAAGAAAATTTTAAGAAATTAAATTTTTTTTTTAATTTCTGAAGTGTGGGTTTTGAAATTTTGGAAAATAGAGGTGTTCTAATTTTGAGATCTTGGGATTTTGTTAGTTTGAGAATGTAAGATTATGTCTTGGAAGTTATGAAAATTGCAGATTTTAGGAGTATTTCAATTTTGAAGAATTTAAATTTTGCGATATAGCTTTTGGAATTTAACATTTTGAAATTTTGAATATTTAAGATATGAGAATCATTACATTTTGGAAATTTGACATTTTGAGAAATAAAAATGTTGACATTGATTAAAATTTGGATATTTCAGATTTTAGGAACAAATCTTGGGAATTTTTTTATTTTAAAATTTCAAAAACTAGGGGAGTTAAAATACTGAGAATTAGGCATTTGAAATTTCTTAAAGAAACATTAGATTTTAGGTACATAGAATTTTGGGATTTTAGAGTTTTGGAAATTTCGTAACGGGAGTCCGCGACGCTCAGAATTACAATTGGAAACTTTAAAATTATAGGAATTTGAAATTTTGTTATTTTTAAACGTTCGAGAATTTAAGATTTTGCTAATTTTGGAAATATAAGTTAAAAAATTTCTGAAATGTCCAGAAATTAAAATCTTGAGATTTTTGATTTTGAGTGTATGGCATACTTACTGAAATGTTTAGTTCTAGATTTTGGAATTCTCAACATTCTGGGAATTTGGGAAAATTTGAGAATCTGTGATTTTGGATTTTTGAAATTTTGGGGAATTTAAACTTTTGAGTTTCCCAAAATTTTGTAAATTTTAGATTTTGAAAATCTCTAAATTTTAGAGTTTATAGTTTTGTAAATTTGGGAATCTGGAATTTTGTTATCTTGAGAATTTCAGGTTTGGAAATTGTAATACTCCAAAAATTCTAATAAATTTCAACATTTTATTTCCCAAAATGTCAAATTTCCAAAACGTGAAGATCCTCATATCAAATTTTCGAAATTTTAAAAGTCCCAAAATGTTAAATTCCAAACACTAAATCCCAAAATCTAAATTCTTCCAAATGTCAATATCCCTAAAATCTGAGATGTAAGAACTATCTTACATTCTCAAACAAACAAAATCCAAAAATCTCAAAAATTACAAAATACAAAATCTCCAAAGTTTCAAATTCTCAAAGTTACAAAAATCTCAAAAACTTAAATTCCCAACAATTTCAGATTTTGTGATATTTGACATGCTGGGCATTTGAATTTTTGGGATTTATGAAAAAACGATTTTACTTTTAAAATTTTAGGTTAAGATTTTGAGGTTGTGGAAAATTGAGGTTTTTCGATTTTTGAACTTTTTAGAAAAATTTAAATTCTGAAATTTTGGGAATCTGTGATTGTTGAAATTACTAAATTTTTGAAATGTTGGGCATTGTTTTTGGTATTTTGGATACACCCTTTAAGGTTTTGTGAAATTTGGATCATTTAACTAATATTGGGATTTATAAAATTTTAAGAAATTAAATTTTTTTAAATTTCTGAAGTTCTTGGGGTTTAAAATTTTGGAAATTAGAAATGCTCTAATTTTTGAGATTTTTGCATTTTGTTACTTTGAGAATGTAAGATTATGTCTTGAAGTTATGAAAATTGCAGATTTTAGGGGTATTACAATTTTGAAGAATTTAGATTTTGCGATATAGTTTTTGGAATTTAACATTTTGAGATTTTGAAAATGTAAGGTATGAAAACCTTTACATTTTGGGAATTTCACATTTTGAGAAATAAAAATGTTGACATTGATTAAAATTTGGATATTTCAGATCAGATTTTAGGAATAATAAAATCTTTGGAATTTTTTGATTTTAAAATTTCAAAAACTATGGGAGTCAAAATATTGAGAATTTAGTTTGAAATTTCTTTAAGAAACATTAGATTTTAGGTATTTTGAGATTTGAGTTTTGGAAATTTCGAAACGAGAGTCCGCGACGCTGAGAATGTTACAATTGGTAACTATAAAATTATAGGAATTTGAGATTTTGGGATTTTTAAACGTTCGATAATTTCAGATTTTGGTAATTTTGGAAATATAAGATTTTCAAAATTCTAGAAATTTTGTGTTTTGATAATTTTGAAATTTTAAGAACTGGAATCTTTGCAAATTACTGAAATGTCAAGAAATTCAAATTTTGAGATTTTTGATTTTGGGTGTATGGGATACTTACTGAAATCTTTAGTTCTAGATTTTGGAATTCTCAAAATTCTGGGAATTTTGGAAAATTTGAGAATCTTTGATTTTGGATTTTTGAAATTTTGGGAAATTTAAACTTTTGAGTTTTCCAAAATTTTGTAAATTTTAGATTTTGAAAATCTCTAAATTTTAGATTTTATAGTTTTGTAAATTTGGGAATCGGCGATTTTGTTGTCTTGAGAATTTGAGGTTTGGAAATTGTAATACTCCAAAAATTCTAATAAATTTCAACATTTTATTTCCCAAAATGTCAAATTTTCCAAAACGTGAAGATCCTCATATCAAATTTTCGAAATTTTAAAAATCCCAAAATTTTAAAGTCCAAAAACTAAATCTCAAAATCTAAATTCTTCCAAATGACAATATCCCTAAAATCTGAAATGTAAGAACTACTATCTTACATTCTCAAACAAACAAAATGCAAAAATCTCAAAATATAAAATTTCCAAAGTTTCAAATTCTCAAATTTACAAAAATCTCAAAAACTTAAATTCCCAACATTTAAAAAATCTCAAAATCTCCAATCCAAACATTTCAAAAAACTTTAATTTCTCAATACTTTATAAATCCCAATGTTTAAATATTTTAAGTGACCCAAATTTTAAAAAAAAAACCTTAAAGTCTAAGGTGCCCAAAATATAAAAAAATCTCAGTTTCAAAATTTTAAAATTCTATGTTTTTCAAAAAACGTTTTGCCTACTACAATCGGACATTCCCAAATTTTTAAAATTCCAAAACCTCCAATTCTCAAAATAACCAGATCTCGAATTCCTAGAATTTTGAAATTAACAAAATTCCCATTTTTTCAAAAATCCTGAAAGTCCAAAATTTAAAAATCTTTAATACTTACCCAAAATTTCAAAAATTTGAAAATGTAAAATTGTCAAACTTAAATTCCGCAATTATTAAGTTTCAAAATCTAAAATTAAAAAAAAAACAAAATCTCAAATTGCCGGAACTTTAAAAATCCTAATAGTCCAAATCCTCAAAATTTAAAAGATCGCAAGAGCTTAAATGCCCAAAGTTCCCAAATTTAAACTTCTAAAACATTTCATCCCAAAAATTCAAATGCCCAGCATGTCAAATATCATAAAATCTAAAATTAAAGATTTAAAAAGGTTACATAGTTTCGGAAAGCCAAAATTTTCTAATTCCCAATTTTTTGAAAATCTAATTTCTAAAATTTTCAAAAATTTAGATGGTGTAAATATCATACATGTGATATGACTTCACTGCCCAAAACAAACAAAGTTTATATGAATTTTATTGATAATTTGGCGACGAGTAAAAATTTAAAAGGATTGTTGGGCGATATCAATAATTTCCTTTTCTTTTGAAACCTTTATAAGACGCGAAAAACAAAACCTATCATGACGACCTCAATAACTTGAAACAGCCAACAACTGATAAAAAAATACAACACAAATTAATTAAATCTAATCCCGCCGCCTCAGACTGAAACCTTCCCCGCTGAACGCCTTGAACTCCTCGCTCTCCTCCTTGCTGTTCTCGTCCGACTTCGGAATCATTCGCATGAATCTCAGCGTGCCGACCTTATAATCGTAGTCGGGTATGCCGCGCTTGTACGCCGGCTTCGGATTCGCCGCGTCCATCGATCCCGAATCCTTGCGACGCTTCCCGTCGAGCCGATTGCCGGCGCCGCGAAAGGCGACGAAACCGGCCGACTCGGGCATCAGATCGGCCGGATCGACCGCCATGTCCTCTTCGGGCGGCTTCACCTCCTCGGTCTCCTTATACCCGACCGGCGCGGCGAACTCGACCTAACGGGCCAGTTCTCATATCAATCAATATCAATCGATACTTACGTTCATATCGCACTCGATGATACTGATCGCTTTACCGGGCTGCGTTTCCAAAACGCACAGCTCGTAAACGCGCTGATTGTACTGCACCGCAATCACGTCTCCGGACGTCAGACACGAAAAAGTCCTCAGGCAGTTCTCCAGCACGGCCTTCGGATTCGTAATGTCCAAGAATTCGGGGGAGAGCGGCTGAAACTTGGCGAACGTTCCAACCGGTAGCGAAACGCTTTCTATCTGGATCGAGTCGTTTTCTTCCAGTACCAGATTGTGCATCATCTAAGGCCGAAGCGGATTAGTGGCGAATTCGCCTTCGTCGAGGTGTACCGTACCCACAATGGCAGATAGACCTTTCCCTCGTCCGCGACGAATTCGAGAACGCCACAGTGACTTGTGCGGTTAGTGTTTTTGTTTACAATCTTAAACTGCATGGGATAGTTTATATTTAACCTTGTTAGTTGCTCCAAGGCGGATGGGGGCATGATTACTGAAAGACACAAAGACAAATATTACGTTAAATACGAGCAATAGTGGAAGTTTTTAATCCATAAAAATTAAAATTGCATAACCTTAAATAACTACGACGTAACAAATTAGTTGCGAAAAAGAATAATGTTGTAATATTAAACGGCACATTACGGTAGCGAAGTTCAACAATCGTGTAAATTAAACGCGTAGTGACCTTCATATTCAAGGGATACTTTACGGCCTTGAAGCTATTACGTTAAATACGAGCAATAGTGGAAGTTTAACCCACAAAGTAATTTAAATCAGTTTGGGACCTTAAGTGGGACTGGTACGCGCGGCGTAAAACTAGACGCTTGGAAAGAAATTGTTGATAATTACTACATTTTTGTCATGTGTAACTCAAATAAGTAGAGCTAGTTGGCAACAATGCCCAATTAACGTGTAGTAGTTGTTGTACCATGACTGCATTTCTATAAGTAGAAATATGGAAACTCTGTGTCCTGCTTTTAATAGAAATCAAGGTAATACTCTGAGGCTTACCGTCAGAATACCTCAATTTTGTACTTCAAATCGTAGTAGCCATTCATTATGCGAGACGAAGAATCTTGTAACAGTCCTGTAACCGGGGTTACATTTCAGGGTGGCGCAATACCTGATCGTTTTAATTAATGTTACTGTTAGAATTTTTACCACAAAATGTATCCACGTAACATAAGACAAATTTCCTTTTTCACTCGTCAAATTTATTAAAGAACACGATCCGCATTGAATATAAATATAAAAATACAACTATACCTTATTTATTCGAAGTCTAAAACTACCCTCGAGTCGTCCAACCTTGGAAAAAATTGAATCACCCTCGAATTATGACACGAGGAAATGGAAATTCATTAATTCGCGCATATTTTAATGAGCATTAATTTCTGTCGTACTTACCCGAATATGTACGATATCCTTAACATAAGGAAAGCTGAAACCACATATAGCAAAAACTGGAATTTATTCAAATTGGTCAGCGTATGTCGGACATTCACGAGCCAATAGCATAGGAAATCTCAAAGAATTTTTAATAAAGAAAAGAGGAAGAGAAGAAGCAAGGAAACAGTTAGAAGCCGAACTAGAACAATTACAAAAAAAAACAGCAAAATCTAGCGGTCACCGCCCACAACAAAGACAGAAGAGAAAGAAAAAACAGGAGAAAAGCCCGCAAATATGGAGGAAATTAAAAACGTGATGATAAACCTTAACAAGAGTACGATAGAAATAAGAAATGACGTCAGAAATGAAATAACGGAAATGAGAGAAGAGTTTAAAAAGGAAATGCGGGAACTGAAGAGGCAAAATCAAGAGAAGGAAGAAAAATGGAACAAAGAAAAACGAGAACTAGCGGAGAGAATAGACAAACAAAAAGAATGGGAATATCAATACGCCAGAAGGGAAAACAAGAAAAGAAGAGCCAAAGGAGGAATATTGACAGGTGTAAGAAAAACGATAGAAACTGAAAAAACGAAAAATCTGGAGAGAACAAACAATACAAAATACATCTAAAGCAGATAGAATTCAAAGAAACTGAATGTGATGCTGCACTAGAAGAAATCAAAAAGGCTAGAGCGGTGACAGAAAAAAAATCAAAAATATACAACTGGACATCAGGAAGAAGCCCTAATGGATTGGAAAACAGGAAATGAAACAGGCGAAGAGTACAGAACAAAGAAGAAAGAATATAAGGATACATGCAAACACAAAAAAGAAGACTTACAAAATGAGGAAATAAGAGAAATACAAAGCATCAAAAACGAAAATTAAGTGTGAAAATTTATAAACAAAGGGAGGAAAAATAAAGAAGGAATACCAGACGACATTGGAGAAGAAGAAGGGAAAAACTACTTTATACAAAGTTTAAACGGACAGATAAGGCTCAGAGGAGAAAAAACAAAAAGAAGTATGAAGAAATAGGGGAAGAAGAAATGGAAGCAGAAATAGCAAAGGTGAAAAAAAAGAAAGCTCCTGGACCAGACCAAATAACAAATGAGATGATAATACATGCGCCCGGAAAACGTGAAACAGCAAATCAGAAGACATTAAATATTTGAGGTTAGGAACAAAATTTTGAAAAACGGTTTTCCACTGGCCGCTTTGGATGTCATTTGGCTACTTTTTCATAAAGAAAAAGTCATATCATTCCATTTGATTTTTTTAGGATTTCGGGTCAGTGCCAAAACTAGCCCCCTGGCGGAGAAGGATTCCACTAAATTTTGGTTGATTCTCATTGCCCAAGGAATGTTCTTTTTAACTCAACCAAATTTGTTAAAATCGGTCAAACCGTTAACAAGTTAAACCAGGTTATCACAAAAACAATTGAACGCCCCACACCATCCTTGTTTTTGAAATAAATGAGTTTTTGTTTTTACGAAAAGGATAGATAAACTGGTTCTCTTTAAAAATGTAAAAAAAAAGTTTATTATGCGAAATTGAAAGAAAATGCAATTTTAAAATTTAAGATGGCAGTTACGCCCTCTGCTGGTAATTTTTAGAACTTGAAAATATTTTCCAGCGTTCCTTCATGACCGATTTACTCAATAATTTTTTTACCCCTAAATCATATGACGAACGGTTCTCGAGATATCCCGAGGAACAGTCTTATAGGGTCACCCGGTACAGATGCAGCAAAACCAAGACGAGCAAAACAGAAAAGGAAATATTACAGGAAGATGGAAGAGGAATCGGCTGGATGAGAAGGACGTTGAGAGGAATAACAATAAACATTATTTAGGTATTTCTGATGTTGGATTAAAATGCAATATAGAAAGTTTATTTGTTTATATTGAAACTTACTTAATATCATATGCTATGTACAGGGTGGCCAATTAAGAATGCGAGGTACTGTATCTGAGAATCTATCCATCGCAGAGGCTTGCGGTAAAAAAATTTATTACGAGCCACGAGAAAAACCTGGAAAATATTTTTAAGTTTCTGCAATGGCCGCTAGGGGGCGTAACTGCAATCTGGAATCTAAAAAAGTGATGTTTCTGTGAATTCCGCTATATTAACCTAACAAAAAAATGTCCTGTCTTCGAAGTTGACGATAATCTGAACAATTTTTGTTTGACAATTTTTCCTGCATCTCTAAAAATGAAGTGGTGGGGGGGGGGGGGGTATTCAAAGGTTTCTGTAAAGAACACCCCGTATCTTCGAAACGGCTGAGCCGATTTAAACAAAGTCGGGTTAGTTCAAAAAAACTACTCTTCACCTACAAATATTATACTATTTGAAGTTTCGTTAATTTCACATATCACCGCTTGAGGGCTTTTTTCGACGTTCCGACAGAAATGGTTAATTTTCTCAAAAAAATTAAATGCGGTTTTCGCGAAGCTTGTTTAGGCATCATTTAGCTACTTTTTTATGAAAAAAAAAATCAAACCAACGCATTTAATTTTTTTGGGAAAATTAACCATTTCTGTCGGAAAGTCTAAAAAGGCCCTCAAGCGGCGATATGTGAAACTACAAAACCTCTCCATTTCATAGAGCCTCGGTATTGTTTAATCTCCTCCCAAAACATTTAAGAAATCTCAACCATCACGAATTCAAAACTAGTCTTAAGAAAATATTACAAAGCAACTCATTTTATTCTGTACAGGAATTCAAAGAACATATTGCTATTCTAGGTTCGCTTGATATTTTATAGTATAGTCTATATATACAGTTTTTATGTCGTTTGTTTATCCTAATATGTTTGTTATATAATATCATTTGATGTTTCGATAATTGTAATTCACAATTCTAAGAATAAATCACTATTATTATTATTATTAACAAAACTTCAAATATTATAATATTTGGACCTAGCCGAAGAATAGCTCTTTTCAATTAACCCAAGTTTGTTAAAATCGGCTCAATCGTTTCGAAGATACAGGGTGTTCTTTACAGAAACCTTTGAATACCCCCCACCACTTCATTTTTAGAGATACAGGAACAATTGTCAAACAAAAAAGGTTCAGATTATCGTCAACTTCAAAGACCGGACATTTTTTGTTAGGTTAATATGGCGGAATTCACAGAAAAATCACTTTTTTAGATTCCAGATTCCAGTTACGCCCCCTAGCGACCATTGCAGAAACTTAAAAATATTTTCCAGGTTTTTCTCGTGGCCGTTTTAGTAATAAATTTTTTTACCGCAAGCCTCCACGATGGACAGGTTCCCAGATACAGTACCTCGCATTCTTATTTGGCCATAATAATGTAATCATATTTTTATATTCCAAATAAACTCATTTCTTTAAAGGTGTTGGAAATTCAGATTTTGATTAATAGTAAGGAAAAACTCTTAAAGATTCGGCCAGTTTAAGAAATTTGATTTTAATATTAAATGTGGAGAATCTTCTAGCTGAGTTTAATTTATAAGGGTTGTTAACTGCTAGCAAAGGGAATAGTTTGGGGGTTGCAAGTGAAGGCAGAATTCGGTTTATTTTAATATATGTGAACAGCTTAAAATTTAGATATTTTGGCCGAAAAACCTTATAAGCAGCTCACTTTTACAACATACCGTACGCATCTTCATAGTTTATAACTTTCCTTATCAATTACTTGCATTCATTTTTATAACACGAGTGCGAATGTCAGTATTTATCATTTCAACATCAATGTTAAGACTAAGACTAAGACACAATTCAAATTGCCAACAATAAACCTCAAAAAATTCCTTATCGCCGGTGACTATTCAGCATACATACCACAGGTTTCAATTTAACATATATTGTAACGAACTTTCTACATAATAAGCTATATAAGCAATTTGCATTGTGTTTAGTCTTACTCTTAACATTGATGTTGAAATGATAAATACTGAAATTCGCACTCGTGTTACAATTGTATAAATATAAAATGAGAGCCGGTACTTACTTTTGCCCCCCTTCTCCACATCCTGCCTTTCGTTTCCGGGAAGCATGGCCACCGAGAAACATTTGTAAGTGGTGTTAAACGGTCTCGGAATTTCCGGGAACATATTGAATCCGAACTGAAACTGCAAAAATTATCGAGGTGAGAAATGCTAGGCTAATACAAAATGAATTAAGCAACGCTAGAGGATTCGACAGAATCGCAACTACTTATGCTTCCAGAACCAAATACCTCTTCGGATCGGTTCAATTTTCTAGCGGTAAACGTTATCGCCCGAACTAGACCGCCGACATCGCCGATGTCGGGTATTGTAGGTAACCGTGGCGGCGGTTCGTCCGCCGGGACCGACCGTACTATGTCGCCGCGATTCAGCTCCTCTCGAGCCTGCTTGCCTACTTTGCCTTCGTCTTGCAGGAGCTTGGTTTTCAGCTCGAGCAGGACGATGCCGAGGTTCTCAACGGAGTCGTCAGCGTCGTCCTGCAGGTAGGGAGAATCGTCGGGCTCGCTTCCGTGCATCGACAAATTGTACTCCTCGTCCTCTAACTCCGCATCGGTTTCGTAACCGTCAACAATTTCCATTTGATCGTCCGCGAGTGGCACAATTTCAACGGGCGGCTTCGTCGGTATCGGCCTCGCAACTGAAAACCTGCGGGTCAAAATGCTCAACATGTCTCGACTTTCCTCCAGTTGCTTGCTAACGTCGTCGAGTATCGTGACGCACTCCTCCGTCCTTCCCTCGGCCTCGAGCACTTGCAAACGTCGAGCCGTTTCGAACGTAATCTGCAAAGAAAGGAGGAGATCCATAATGGGCCGCTCCAGTCGAGAACTTCGTACGGCCCGTCCCTCAGTGTCGATCACGCCGTCGCACAAATTGAAGCGAATCCGATTAAATTGAGCGCGAACTTCGTTTAACAACCCGTCTAACTTGCCCACCAGCTCCGGTAACAAACAATCGAGCACGTGCGGCAAGTCACACCGCTCCCTCCACAACTGCACGCAGCAGCTTAAACCGACGCAGCCGAGAAAATTCGAGGTTATCAGCAGGAAGAGATCGGACAGTTTGTCGAACCGAGCTCGCACCTCTTTAAAACCGAAGTCGGCGGTCACTCGCAGATCGTCCAAGTTCCAATCGATCGACGCAACGAAGTCCCCCTCGGTAATCGGGACCGATAGGCAAACTTGCACCATGCAATTTCGAATTTGATCGACGACCTCGTGCAGACTGCTCGCCACGAATTTCAGAAACACCTCGCCGGGCTCCACCAGTATGTTAAACGCGCCAACTTGAAGCTTGTGACTCTTGACGGCGGCGTCGCGCTTCTTATAGTACTGGGCAATTTCCTTGGTGATCGAATACGTAGATTTGATCAGGCAAAGAAGGCGTTCGAACCGTCTCTTGTACCGCCTCGTGCGATAGCACACAATCGACCGTGACATTAGCTGCATGCTCGTCGGCAGTGCGGAGATCAAAAACGGGTAAATGCTGTTCAGTTTAACGGTCGTAGCGAGGCCGACAGTCGTAAGCGCGGCCGACGTAACCAGCAATCGACGGTCAAACCGCACGGTGTCTTGGTAAAAGTTCGGATCCCAGAAAGTCGTCAACAGGCTCATGTCTTCGTCCAGGAGCATTCCCGATTTTAACACGCAGCTTACGTGGTGCGCTAAGACTGCGTGAAAGTCTCTCAAAAATCGCTCCTTGTTCATTTTTTTATCATTCTACATCTGACTACAACATTTCTGGAGAATTTAAAAACAACTTGAAAGATGAAGGGGCGGCGCATTAGACACAGACAACAAAGAACAATGCAGATTAAAACTAATTAGACAATAATTACAATTAGTTTAACGTACCATTTTGGTCTAGTTTTAAAGTTTCCGTGAGCACGTATAGTTTAGAATTCCTCAATCTTTAATTTAAACACTGAAGTGAAGAAAATCGCTAGGGTTAGGGAGTGACTTTCAAAAATACTAACATAGGTTGCGTTCATTGCGTTTCAATGAGTACAATCAAACCTTTGGGACAATGTAAAGAACAGTTCACAGAAGTTTCAGAAGAGAGGTAGTGACATGACAACGCTAGGAACATCTCTTAAGCTTCGACCATTTAAACCTTGCTAGTGCTAAGTGCTAAATTTACTCGTAGCTTGAAGCCAACATCTGCAGCGCCATCACTGGGTATGACTAAAATTAAAACTAAATGTGAGGCGCTAAATATGAAATTTGCTAGACAAATATATCCACACAAAATATTTATACAATAACTGTTTAACTTTATACTTGGATAGTGATAACGGTCGTAGAATAAGTTTTTATTTAACAAATGTACATGTGTATTGCAGCATCTAACCAATCTCCAGGATAACGTAGTACATGACGGCGAGGGTGTTGAAGTACGATCATAAAATATTTTATAAATTATAAAGTGTGTAGATGTTAAATTAATATATGATGAATATTGAATGACATTTATGAACTTCTTTATTTTTCTATTATTTTGAAGCTCAAGACGTTTTATTAATGTTCAGAGGGTGTTACACAACGATTAAGATCCATATTTTGATGATCAGAGAAAGTGTTTACATTTTCATCTACTGTCATTTCTTCAAGTTGTTCTTGGTCGGAGAAACTATCGACATATTCAATTGATGAATTCGGTAAAATTGAAGGAACCGAATTAACCTTTTGCTTACGCGAAAAACGTTTCTGTTTTAATATCCTTGTTTTTGAGGATATAAACTGCATCACAATTTATTACAAAACAACTTCCGGGTTCTGTTTTTAAATAATTATATAAAAGTAGGCAACTAATTAACACAAAATTATATAAAACCACTATCAAATACTTACAATTGTAGTGTACTTAACCCCTAGGTTCTACGCTAACTTCACACTACAAAAACACGGAAATAAAGTCAACCCGGCAACGTTTAAAAATGGCTATTCCTCCGAAACTAAACAAGATCCCGCTTAAATTTGAAAAGTGGCACGTGATAAAACATCTAAGGCAAGCCACCTTACGTTAAGTTGTAGACAACGCTTTGACCTGAAGCACAGTAGGGAAGGAACGTAAAATAAAACACTCAAATTGTGAAAAGTTTGTTTAATAAAGATCGCAATTATTAAGAGTGTGAAAGCTCGGAAATTTAAGTCCAAATAAATTACATTGCAAAAAAAAACTTTGAAAATGGTAGTTCACCGAATCAAAATAGAAATAGGCTGGCAAAAAAAGAACTTACCAATAAAAAAACCAGCCGTCAAATTAATATCAAATTGTGTTGTAAAATTAATGGTTTGTAATGATGTGAATGCGTAACATAAAATTATAACATCACAAAAAGTAACAGGTAAACTTCAAGAGGTAACAAAGAGGTTGAAAACAAGTGTTGGGAATTATGGGTCAGGTAAGCAGGTACCAAAATTCTAAGAAAGGGTGAAATACACAGGATGTGACTCATCTCTGGTGCAATAAAGTCCTTTTGTTAAAAGCAAGATGGAAAATTTATACATGGCCTTGTAGGTAAATTTAACTAAAAACAAGATAAATGGAAATTATTGAATCGCCACTCATTTATCGCACCTGCAAGATAGGTAGCCCGCCCCTGGTTTCGGAGTTTCGAGCCTACAGTTGGATGGTGAAGACAATCACGGAATTAGGTGTCGTACTTCAATTTTGACTACAGTTTTTTTTCCACCCCCGTGACTGCTTCGTTCACGGAGAAATTTGTTTGTAACAAACAACAAGTCAGTACATACATCAAACGCATCGGTAATTTCCACATATTAAAATAAAATTATCAAAACTTACATGAATGTTACATCAAGGACAAGACCAAGTAATCAACATCAATAAACATAAATTAACCAAAAACGTAAACAATTACAAACAATAGCATCACGGTATCACGTCATTCTGCATTGCGGTTAAATCAAATAAATTTCAAAAACAAAGATTCAAACACACAAAATATAAAATGCGGCATACAAAACACAAATACGATATAAAGAAATGCAAAAATTACTACCTGCATTAAATAACACGATATAATAACAAACATTTATAGAGCGACGCGTTCACGACTGCCATTCAACACAAGATGCCAATTGCCAAACGTAACCCCCGTTCGTGCTTACCAGATGGCGCAGGCAGCTTTTCCCCACCTAGAAATGGCATGGTTGCCAACTCTCAAAAATGTATGTATCGTCGTACGTTAGATATACAGGGTAGAACCTCTCATGTTATGTCCCTATCAAGTATTTTACTTCTTTAGCTTGTCAAGGCCAGAACATGGATCTCTTAGTCTGCCTTGTTTCCCCTGTTAGTAAGTATTCTCTCCTCTCTCCTGTACTAAAGACTAAGCCTCTATCTGGTTTATTATTATTATAGTACCCTTTTTAATTCGTTTTGCTCGTGTACAAGTATCCCGATATTCACACCGACCCACCTCTCAAAATTTAGGTTTTGAAAAATCTCAAAATTTCAAACACCCAGAATTTCAAAAACAATAAAGTTTAAAATTTGAGGATATCCAAAAACCTCAAAATCTCAAATTTAGAAAATTTGAGAAAAACTCAAAAATTTAAAATTCCCAAAAGTTCGAACATCCCAAAATCTCAAACGCACAAATTTTCAAAAGTGTCCACAGCTAATTCCCAAAATCGAAAATTACTAAATTTCAAAGATTTCAGTACGTATCGCATATTCCTAAATTTCAAAAACCCCGAAATTTAAATTTCCTCGAATTTCAAAGAGATTTTAATTTGATTTCCAAAGTTTAAAATTGTTAACATTTCAAAATTTTAACAATCCTAAAATCTTATACATATTTTCAAAATTTTAAAAAAGCCAAGATCTGAAATTCTCGAATTTTCAAAAACCCCAAAATCTCACGTTCATACAATTCGAAAAGTTTCCAATTGAAAAGTTCTCAACGTCGCGAACTTTCTTCTCAACAATCTCTGAATTCAAAAACTCCTAAAATCTCATATTCACAAAATTTGAAATCCCCAAAAATCTAAGGTTTCTAATATTGAAAAAATTTCAAATACAATAAATCTTAAATTTTAAAAATGTTAAAATGTAAACATTCCCAAAATTTTAATATGAATTCCTGAAATCTAAAAATCGTAAATTTTATGAATCTGAAAAGTTGGGTTCCAAAAACGAAATCCCAATATTTAAATATTTTAAATGCCCAAAATTTCAAAAGTTCGCAAACTAAAAATATTTAAACGCCCATAATTTCAAAAATTAGTCTCCCAAAATATTTCAAAAAAAAAGTTGAATACTAAACGTTTAAAATTCTCACCGACTGCAATCGGAAATTCCCAAATTTTTAAAAACTACAAATTCTCAAAATTCCCACATTTCAGAAATTGCAGAATCTAAATTTATAATATCCTAATGCTCAAAATTACAAAAATTTCAATTTTCCAAAATCTCGAATTTCTAAAATTGGAATATTAACAAAATCTAAAATTCCAGTTTTTCCAAAAATCCTAAAAGTCAAATGCCCAACATTTCAAATATAAAATGTAAAATTCAAGAAAGGGATTTTTTGAGTATAAAACGTCTCTAAGAATTCATAGATTATTATAAGGGGAAGTATTTGTATAACTTATGTTCTGTACTTACTTCGAAATAAATCCACATCTTAATGATGTTTTCGCTGTCGGGTCAAGAATTGAAATTGAAGTTTGCAAGATCTCGAGATTCGGCGAAATTCACCGAATCTTTACTATCTTTACGAAATTCGCCGATTATCATCAAAATCAACAACGAAACCTCGATCAAATTGGCGAATTTCAACGGCAATCGACTACTTTCGGAGAATCTCCAAAGATTCGGAATTTCAACATTTCCAAATCTCAAAATGAAACTCGCGCAGACTCGACGATTTTCGATGATACTGGAGGAAATTCGACGAAACTGGAATAGGAATTGTCAACGTTTGTATTAACGATTTATTTAGCTTCACCGAAGTCCGTAGAAAGTCGTTTATGCAAATTTAAAACGCGGTTATACGTATGGAGATACCAAACCTTAGCAACGTCCTGTAGATGTCATTGTCGACCCGAAGCACCCTATACATCATGTTTGTTACACAAGCTGCCAACCGAAATCTGGTGGGATTACAGAAAAGGGAAAGAGAGCAAAGATGAGACGGATGGAATTTCTTGGAAGGCCACATATGTTTACCATTTCAAACACCTGCAGTCCAGTTTTTTCCTAGAAATGCGTGAAATGCAGGGAATGGGCGATTTTCGGGTGGTTTTTAGGGGTATTAGCAGATCAAATTACAGCGTGGCTTGGGGTGGTCAATAAATAGGATTTAACATGTGTGTTCATGGTCTTTGTCTTGTAACCGGCTGAAGTGTAAAGTACGGCTTGTCTTGAAATATTTTGTTATACCTTAAATCATTGCTGTGTACTTTTGCTTTTTTATATCAGATGAGGTATTTGCTTTATTCAATTAATCTATAAATGTGTGTAACTTGAATGTAGATTGTAACGCTTTACTTCTGTACTTACTGGATTCAACCACTTGTACCTCTTAATGTGTAACCTTTGTTGGTATTGGGAATCATGTTTCATTGTCGGTAGGGTTGTATCTATGCTGTACATACTTGCATGTGTACATATATGTGTATTGTGCTTTTTAGTCACTTTCGATTATTTCATTGCATTTCATTATATTTGCTTATTTGGAGCTGTGAGTAATCAAGAGGGAAGTGTGCTTGTTTAGAGGGGATCAAGTTATTCAAGTTTATACGGGCCTTGGTGAACTTAACACTAACATTTTCACTCGTTCCGAAACCCAACAATTTTAACCCACGTCTACAGGCACCCCACTGGGCCTGGGTAATCCTACCGCCCGGCGAGGCATAGTTAATATCTTTTAGTTTTGTTTGATGTATGTGTTGTAATACCTGGGAAATGGCTCGAATCCATTTTGGTTACTCATAGCGTGTTTGTAGTAGTTACCTCGGTTTCGAGAGGGCTCAAAAGTGCTGTACATTGGATGTTGTTCATTATAGGACTACTCCGAATTAGGTTTTCCTGCAGTTTTCCTAATTCGTAAGCTAAATGCCGAAGTAATATACAACCACTTAAGACCCTCTGCAGGGGCGCCGCTAAAAAACCATTATGCGGGTCACTCTGTAATCGTATTGGTATTAGATTCAATATAAACTTAATCAGCTATTGCTTTTGGTGTTCCTTACCCATAAAACGCCCTCAGTGCCTGCTGAGAACCCAGTTATTACACAACATAGGTGTTCTACATGACGATCACGATTAGTTCACTCGGAGTGGCCCCCGAGTGACAGATTCTCGCGGGAAACTTAAGCGAGAATATTCAAATAAGCAGCCATGTTAGTTTGGCATTCCCAATATTACAGAACATGATCATATATACAGGTGTGACTTGAAGTTGGCGTTAGCCGCCAAGATAGTAGGAGGCTAAGATCATCACAGTATTAAAAAGCGGATGATTTTTACCTACCGTAAATTAACGCTCCAAAAAGTCAATTTTCGGCAGGTTCTCGCGTTCGCTCCTCCATTGATGAGTCATCTGTGCATTTTTTAAAGGTTTTTGCAAGTTTAAAGGTGAGGGAAATCGAGTATAAGAGTCAAGCACTTCTGTTTGAAGGCAAGCAGTAGTAGGTACCATCAGTATTTGTGACGTCAGATGAGAACTCCACCATCATCTTTAATGTTTAATATCTTTATCATTTATGTTCCAATAAATAAGATTCTTATAATAGATCTGTGTAAACATGACTTTAAAATTGTTACATGGTGTGACACCGACTTCTACTCAAAACAGACAACCTAACCTACAAAATGTTCCAATTTAAGACCATTGAAAGAAAGTGACTAACTAATAATAGATATTTTATAATTAGATGTTCCAGAATATTCTGTCTTTTTACCATTTTATTTTAGTAACTACCACGAACACTAAACTATGAGTGCCTCAATTGAAGCATCCGAATTGAAAGAAAAAGGCAATGAGGCCTTTAAAAATGGTGACTACGAAAACGCAATCGCCCTATACACGAGTGCTATCAAGTTATCATCGGAGGACGGCGACAAAGCCGTATATTTGAAGAACCGTGCGGCGGCCCATCTGAAACGAGGCGGCTATCAGCAGGCCGTCAACGACTGCAGCAAATCGTTAGAGTTGACACCGGCCGATCCCAAAGCGCTATTCAGGCGATCGCAAGCTTACGAAAACCTGGAACGCTACGAAGAGGCCTACGTCGACGCGAGGGAAGTGTTAAAGTTAGAGCCAACAAATAAGGTGCTACAGCCCACCTTAGAACGACTGTACCCAATTGTGCAGCAGCGAGCTAAAGAAAACGCGCAAATATCGACGAAAATTGACAGCATGACCAAACTCACCTTTGATCCTACCACCGACAGGGAAAAGCGCGAGACCGCCATGAACAACTTGCTGGTATTGGCCCGCGAGAAAATCGGTTCGGAGATTATTCTAAAAACGGGAGTGCTACACAAAATCAAGCAGCTGGTGAAGGTGGAGAAGAACCGCGTCATCTTCATATGCGCCATTCGGATAGTCGGCGAGCTGTGCAAGCATTCGGTCGAGAACACCAAAGTCGTACTGAAGGACCTCGGTCTGCCGTGGTTCCTCGAGATGATCGACAGCGAAGACTCGAACCAAGTAAACGTGGCCGAACACTGCATGCAAACGATATTAAACACGCTCTCCGGCATGGAGAACAAGGCGGATACGAAACCGAACAAGGAGCTGTGCGAGACGCACAAGTTTCAAATCGACACCCTACTCTCGTGTCTCGTCTACTCGATCAACAATCACACGATATCCGGACTGGCTCGCGATGCCATCATCGAACTGCTCATTCGTAACATACACTACACCACGTTGAGTTGGGCCGAGAGGCTCGTGGAGATTGGCGGCGTCCAGCGGCTGATGGAGTGCGCCAGCGAGCTGGAGGAGTACAAGTTCGAGAGTTCGCTCAGTATAACGTCGTCGACTCGGACTATCGCCGCCGTTTGTCTTGGGCGGGTCTTCGAAAATATGTACTACGATAAAGCGAAGGAGGCGTTTTTGGAGAAGATTCAGGAGTTTATGGCGCCAAAATTGTTGTCTCCGGATATCGAGGCGAAGGTAGGATATTGAAAGACAAGTGTTACAAGGCCACCTATTGCAATACACAATAACTATGAAGCATTGTAGATTTTTGAAAATTTTAGAAATTGAGATTTTCGAAAATTTGAGTTTTTTGAAACTTTGGAAATTTGAGAATTTTGGATTTTGGGTTTTTTAAATCTTGTAAATTTGAAATTTTGGAGTTTTTCTGAAGTTTAGATTTTATGATATTTGAAATGCTGGGCATTTGAGATTTTGGGATTTTTGAAAAAAACGGAAATTTTGGATTTGGTTAGTTTCGAAATTTTAGGACTTTTTTGGGAATTTAGGATTTTATAATATAAATGTTAGATTAATTTCTGAAATTTTTGGAGTTTTGAGTTCTTGAGATTTTTAAAATTTTTGGAATTTGAATTGAAACTTCGTATAATTTAGATTTTGGGATTTAGTTTTTGAAATTTGATATTTTGAGAAATAAAATTTTGATATTAATATTGATATTGGAAATATTGAGATTTTAAAATTAAACATTTTGTGATTTTTTTTATTTGAGAATTTTAAAAATTGTAAGGACTTAAAATAATTGAGAGACTAAAATCTTTAGGTTGCAGGTAGGTATTTCAAATTTTCTCAATTTGAGATCTTAAGAGTTTTTGAGATTTTTGAAATTAGAGTTCGGGACGTTTTACAATTAGAAACTCTTGAAATTGTACGATTTTGGAATTTTTATAATTTTATAAGAATTTGAAATCTTGGCCTATTAAAATTTTGGAAATGTGTATAGGATGTTTAAGATCTGGAAATTTTGGGCTTTGGTTATTTTGAAATTTTAAGAATTTGAAAATTAAAACCAAACTAAAAATTTAGATTTTGGGGTTTAGTTTTCGGAATGTAACATTTTGAGATTTTTAAAATTTTGGAAATTTGGGAATTTTTTTTTGATTTGAGCATTTTAGATTTTGGGTTTTCTAAATTTTGAAGATTATTAAAATTTGGAAATTTTAGATACTAGGAATATTAAAATTTTGTGAATTTTCTGATTTTAACATTTTTAAAGTTCTAGTTACTTATTTTGAAAATTTTAATATTTGAAATTTGTGAAAGATTAGAAACCTTAAACTTGGGGATTTCCAATTTTGTGAATTTGAGTTTTTAATGTTTTTTTAAATACTCTAAATGGGAGTTCGCTTTATTGGGAAATTTAAAATTAGGAAATTGGAATTGAGATTTTCCGATTTTTAACCGTTCGAGAATTTCAGATCTAGGTGTTTTTTGAAATATGTATAAGATTTTTGATTCTAGAAATTTTGGATTTTTGCAATTTGGAATTTTAAGAATTTGAAATCTTTGAACTCTTAGAAATTTTGATTTTGGACATTTGAATTTTAGAAACTAAGAATTTCGACGTTGTGAATCTTTGGAAATTTCAAATGTTAACGATTTTGAAATTTTGTTGTTTCGGGAATTTGAGATGTTGCGAGTTTTTAAAATTGTAGGAATTTTGGATTTTAGTCGGTGAGACTTTTAAACGTTCGGCACGATCTTGGCATTTTTAAAATGTTGGAAATACATAAAAGATTTTAGGATTTTTAGAATGTTGGATTTCGAAACTTTAAAAAGTTTGTCAATTATAAATTGAAAAATTTTGAAATTTCAGGAAGTAGAGGTTTTGGGATTTTAAAATTAGTGTATATCGGATACTGAAATTTTTTAAACTTGGTATTTGAAGATTTGAGGGTTTTGAAATTTTTGAATTTTAGATTTTGTAATATTTGAAATTCTGGGCGTGTCAGATTTTGGGATTTTTAAAAAAGGGAAATTTATAGATTATGTTAATTTTGAAATTTTACGAATTTGAGATTTCATTTGGCATTTGAAATTTTGGAATTTTGTTGTTTTGAGAAGTTTTAAAGTTTTTGAAAATTTTAGATGTAGAGAATTTTTAACGTTGAGAATTCAAGGGTTTTGGAATATTAAAAAAATTAGAATTTTGAAATTTTGGGAATTTATGATTTTTGAAATTTTTAGATTGCTGAAATCTCGACTGAAACATTAGGTGTTTTAGAAGTTTAAATTTGGGAACTTTGGGCATTTAAGCTCTTGCGATCTTTTAAATTATGAGGATTTGGACTATTCGAATTTTTGAAGTTCCGGGAATTTGAGATTTTGTTTTTTTTTACATTTTAGATTTTGAAACTTAATAATTGCGTTAAATTTGACAATTTTACACTTTAAAGTTTTTGAAATTTTGGGTAAGTACTAAAGATTTTTGAAATTTGGGACTATTAGGATTTTTGAAAAAACGAGAATTTTGTTAATTTTAAAATTCTAGGAATTCGATATCTGGTTATTTTTAAAATTGGAGGTTTTGGAATTTTTTAAAATTTGGGAATATCCGATTGTAGTTGGCGAGAATTTTGCAAAACGTTTTTTGAAAAATATAAAATTATGAAACAGATTTTTGGTATTTTTGGCACCTAAGCCTTTAAGGTTTTTTTAAAAATTTGGGTGACTTAAAATATTTAAATATAAATGTTTGAATTTTGAGAGTTTGAGATGTTTTAAATATTGGGAATTTGAGTGTTTGAGATTTTTGTAAATTTGGGAATTTGAAACTTTGGAAATTTTATATTTTGTAATTTTTGAGATTTTTGGATTTTGTTTGTTTGAGAATGTAAGATAGTAGTTCTTACATTTCAGATTTTAGGGATATTGACATTTGGAAGAATTTAGATTTTGCGATATAGTTTCTGGAATTTAACATTTTGGGATTTTTAAAATTTTGAAAACTTGATATGAGGATCTTCACGTTTTGGAAATTTCACATTTTGGGAAATAAAATTTTTGGAGTATTACAATTTCCAAACCTCAAATTCTCAAGATAACAAAATCCCAGATTCCCAAATTTACAAAACTATAAAATCTAAAATTTAGAAATTTTCAAAAACTTCAAAATCTAAAATTTACAAAATTTTGGAAAACTCAAAAGATTAAATTCCTCAAAATTTCAAAGATCCAAAATCATAGATTCCCAAATTTTCCAAAATTCCTAGAATTTTGAGAATTTCAAAATCTAGAACTAAAGATTTCAGTATGTATTCCATGTACCCAAATCTCAAAAATCTCAAAATTTTAATTTCCTGATATTTCAGACAATTTTCAACTTATAATTTTCAAAGATTCCAGTTCTTAAGATTTTAAAATTATCAAAACCCAAAATTTCTAGAATTTTGAAAGTCTATATTTCCAAAATTTTAAATTGCCAAAATCTGAAATTCTCGAACGTTTAAAAATCCCAAACTCTCAAATTCCTATAATTTTAAAGTTTCCAATTGTAACATTCTCAGCGTCGCGGACTCTCGATTCGAAATTTCCAAAACTTTAAAATCCCAAAATTCAATGTACCTAAAATCTAATGATTCTTTAAGAAATTTCAAATCCTAATTTCTCAATATTTTATCTCCCATAGTTTTTGAAATTTTAAAATCAAAAAATTCCCAATATTTTATTATTCCTAAAATCTGAAATATCCAAATTTTAATCAGTGTCAACATTTTTTTTTCTCATAAATGTCAAATTCCCAAAATGTGAAGATTCTCATAACTTAAATTTTCAAAATCTCAAAATGTTAAATTCAAAAAACCACATCGCAAAATCTAAATTCTTCAAAATTTTAATATCCCTAAAATCTGCAATTTTCAAAACTTCAAGACATAATCTTACATTCTCAAACTAACAAAATCCAAAGATCTCAAAAATTAGAGCATCTCTAATTTCCAAAAACTTCAGAAATTTAAAAAAATTTAATTTCTTAAAATTTTATAAATCCCAATATTAGTTAAATGCTCAAAATTTCACAAAACCTTAAAGGGTAAGGTATCCAAAATACCAAAAACAATGCCCAATATTTCAAAAATTTAATAATTTCAACAATCGTAGATTCCCAAAATTTCAGAAATCTAAATTTTTCTAAAAAGTTCAAAAATCGAAAAATCTCAATTTTCCACACCCTCAAAACCTTGACCTTAAATTTTAAAATTAAAATCGTTTTTTCATATCATATTCCCAAATTTACAAAACTATAAAATCTAAAATTTACAAAATTTCAAAAAATTCCCAAGATTTTATTATTCCTAAAATCTGAAATATCCAAATTTTAATCAATGTCAACATTTTTATTTCTCAAAATGTCAAATTCCCACAATGTAAAGATTTTCATATCTTAAATTTTCAAAATCTCAAAATGTTAAATTCCAAAAACTATATCGCAAAATCTAAATTCTTCAAAATTTTAATACTCCTGCAATTTTCAAAACTTCCAAGACATAATCTTACATTCTCATACTAACAAAATCCAAAAATCTCAAAAATTAGAGCATTTCTAATTTCTCTCATTTCCAAAATTTCAAATCCCAAGAACTTCAGAAATTCAAAAAAAATTTAATTTCTTAAAATTTAAAAGTCCCAATGGTTAAATGCTCCAAATTTCAAAAAACTTTAAAGGGTAAGGTATCCAAAATACCAAAAACTCAAATTTGAAATCCACAAATGCCCAACATTTCAAAAATTTAATAATTTCAACAATCATAGATTCCCAAAATTTTAGAATTCTAAATTTTTCTAAAAAGTTCAAAAATCGAAATATCTCAACTTTTCAAAACCTCAAAATCTTGACCTAAAATTTTAAAATTAAAATCTTTTTTTCATAAATCCCAAAAATTCAAATGCCCAGCATTCTAAGTACTTAAAATCTAATGTTTCTTTAAGAAAGTTCAAATCCTAAATTCTCAATATTTTAACTCCCATAGTTTTTGAAATTTTAAAATCAAAATATACCCAAGATTTTAATATTCCTAAAATCTGAAATATCCAAATTTTAATCAATGTCAACATTTTTATTTCTCAAAATGTCAAATTCCCAAAATGTAAAGATTCTCATATCTTAAATTTTCAAAATTTCAAAATGTTAAATTCCAAAAACTATTTCGCAAAATGTAAATTCTTCAAAATTGTAATACTTCTCAAATCTGCAATTTGCAAAAATCTCAATAATTTTCCAAAATTTCAATTCACAAAAACTTCAGAAATAAAAAAAAAATTAATTTCTTACAATTTTATAAATCCCAATAGTTAAATGCTCAAAAATTTCAAAAAACCTTAAAGGGTAAGGTATCCAAAATACCAAAAACAATGCCCAACATTTAAAAAATTTAATAATTTCAACAATCGTAGATACCCAAAATTTCAGAATTCTAAACTTTTTTTCAAAAATCGAAAAATCTCAATTTTCCAAAACTTCAAAATCTTGACCTAAAATTTTAAAATTAAAATCGTTTTTTCATAATTCCCAAAAATTCAAATGCTCAGCATGTCAAATATCACAAAATCTGAAATTGTTGGGAATTTAAGTTTTTGAGATTTTTGTAACTTTGAGAATTTGAAACTTTAGTAATTTTTCAGATTTTTGGATTTTGTTTGTTTGAGAATGTGAGATAGTTCTTACAGTTCAGATTTTAGAGATATTGACATTTGGAAGAATTTAGATTTTGGGATTTAGTTTTTGGAATTTAACATTTTGGGATTTTTTAAATTTCGATAATTTGATATGAGGATCTTCACGTTTTGGAAATTTGACATTTTGGGAAATAAAATGTTGAAATTTATTAGAATTTTTGGAGTATTATCCAATCCTCAAATTCTCAAAATAACAAAATCACAGATTCCCAAATTTAGAAAACTATAAAATTTAGAGATTTTCAATAACTTCAAAATCTAAAATTTACAAAATTTTGGAAAACTCAAAAGTTTAAATTTCCCTAAAATTTGAAAAATCCAAAATCACAGATTCTCAAATTTTCCAAAATTCTCAGAATTTTGAGAATTCCAAAATCTAGAACTAAAGATTTCAGTAAGTATCCCATATACACAAATTTTAAGAATCTCAAAATTATAATTTCCCGACATTTCAAGAAATTTTTTAACTAATAAGATTCCAGTTCTTAAAATTTTAAAATTATCAAAAAATTTCTAGAATTTTGAAAATCTTATATTTGCCAAATTGCCAAAATTGCCAAAATCTGAAATTCTCGAACGTTTAAAAATCCCAAAATCTCAAATTCCTATAATTTTAAAGTTTTCAATTGTAACATTCTCAGCGTCGCGAACTCCGGTTTCGAAATTTCCAAAACTCTAAAATCCTAAAATTCGAGGTCCTAAAATCTAATGTTTCTTTAAGAAATTTCAAATCCTAATTTCTCAATATTTTAACTCCCATAGTTTTTTTAATTTTAAAATCAAAAAATTCCCAAGATATTATTATTCCTAAAATTTGAAATATTAAGAACATTTTTATTTCTCAAAATGTCAAATTGCCAAAATGTAAAGATTCTCATATCTTAAATTTTCAAAATGTCAAAATGTTAAATTCCAAAAACTATGTATATCGTAAAATCTAAATTCTTCAAAATTTTAATACCCCTAAAATCTGCTGTTTTTTTAAGACAAAATCTAACATTCTCAAACTTACAAAATCCAAAGATCTCAAGCATCTCTAATTTCCAAAAATTTCAAATCCCAAAAACTTCAGAAAAAAAAATGTAATCCTTTTATAAATCCCAATATTAGTTAAATGCTCAAAATTACAAAAAACCTTAAAGGGTAAGGTATCCAAAATACCAAAAACTCAAATTTGAAATTCACAAATGCCCAACATTTCAAAAATTTAATAATTTCAACAATCATATATTCCCGAAATTTCAGAATTCTAAAAAGTTCAAAAATCGAAAAATCTCAATTTTCCAAAACCTCAAAATCTTTACCTAAAATTTTAAAATTAAAATCGTTTTTTCATAAATCACAAAAATTCAAATGCCCAGCATGTCAAATATAAAATCTGAAATTAAAAATTTAAAAAAAACATCAAATTTCTAAAATTTTCAAAAATTTAAATAGTTGTTCAAAATCTAAAATTACCAAAATTTCAAAAATTCAAAAATATTTTTTACTTATATTTTTATCTTTGAAGGTTCGACTAACTGCGGCCATAACTGCGCTTTTACGAGGTCCCCTCGACGTCGGCAACACGATTATATCCAAGGAGGGGATTTTGGAGATGATACTGGCGATGGCAAATTCCGAGGACGTCGTACAGCAGCGAGTCGCGTGCGAGTGCATAATAGCGGCGGCGAGCAAGCACGACAAGGCGAAGGCGATCATATCGCAGGGCGCGAACATTCTGAAGAAGTTGTACAAGTCGCCGGAGCCGGGGATCAGCATACGGGCGCTGGTCGGTCTGTGCAAGTTGGCGAGTTGCGGCGGCAGCGACGCGTCCATCAAGCCTTTTCAGGAGGGATCCGCCCTGAAGCTCGCGGAAGCGTGTCGGCGGTTTTTGCTGCGGCCAGGTAACGACAACGACCTTCGGAAGTGGTCGGCGGAGGGCCTCTCGTACTTGACCCTGGACGCGGAGGTCAAAGAGAAGTTGGTGGAGGACAAGGCGGCGCTGCAGGTCTTAATCGATCTGGGGAAGTCGGGCGATCAGTCTGTACTGTACGGGGTCGTCACCACTTTGGTGAACTTGTGCAACGCGTACGAGAAGCAGGAGGTCCTCCCCGAAATGTTGCAGTTGGCCGAGTTCGCCAAGCAGCACATTCCGCAGGAGCACGAGCTGGACGATCCCGATTTCGTCACGAAGCGCATCATCATTTTGGGCAACGCGAGTGTGGCGTCCGCCTTAGTTGGACTATCAAAAACTGAAAGTCAGAACGCCAAAGAGTTAATCTCGCGTGTATTTAACGCCTTGTGTAGCGTGCCTGAGCTACGCGGCTCTGTGGTGCAACAGGGCGGTGTTAAGGTACTAATTTCGCAAGCGCTCACCGGCACCGATAAGGGTAAACGACACGCCGCCCAAGCGCTGTCTAGGATCGGCATTACGATTAACCCGGAGGTCGCGTTCCCGGGCCAGCGCAGCCTGGAGGTGATCCGCCCGCTGCTCAACCTACTGCACCAAGACTGCACCGCCCTGGAGAATTTCGAAGCGCTGCTCGCTCTTTGCAACATCGCGCAAATGAACGAGTCGGCGAGGCAGCGTATTATAAAAGAGGGCGGCATTGCCAAAATCGACCATTACCTTTTTGAAGACCACCTGATGTTACAGCGCGCCGCCGCGCAGGTCATCACGAATTTGAGCATGTCTCCAGACGTCGTCAAAATATACGAAGGCGAGAACGACCGAATGAAGTACCTCGTCATTCTGTGCGCGGACGAGGATCTGGAGACGAGCCTTGCCGCGTCCGGCGCCGTTGCCATACTGACATCGAGCAGCGAGAAATGTTGCGCCAAAGTCTTCGACTCGACCTCTTGGCTGGAAAGCTTGCAAGTTTTGCTCGCCAATCCCAACTCCAATTTGCAATACAGAGGTCTGGCGATCGTCAAGAACATGATGGAGAGTTCCAAGGACGTCGCCGCCAAGTTGATCGAAACGAACGTCTTGGAAATCTTGATGGCCCTGACTAAGGCAGAGGACGACAATAAGGTGAAGGTCAGGCAGGCAGCCGACGATGCGTTGAAATCGGCGGAGAAATGGGGAGTTATTCAGAAACGGGACGATTCCAATCGGCTTGATACTTCACAAGGTATTGATCCGTTCGTGCAGGACGGAGAAGTGAACGAAGACTAATTTGTTACTGGCGATAACTTCCTAAATTGTACTTAACTTTTATATTTATACTATTGTTAATAATAAAAACGAATTATTTAATTATTTACAGCGCGCGCGTCTGATCCACGCGGACTGAAATGAGCCTGTTTTTTTTGTTAGCAGAATTCCACCCCTGGGATAGGTAACAATAGGCCCTTGCGCAGGAGCAAACATTTTGGTCTTGTTGCATTATCGGGTCAGCGTGGTCCAGTTTAATACGAATACGAAGCACCCTATACATCATGTAGGTTACACAAGCTGCCAACAGAAATCTGGTGGGATTACAGAAAAGGGAAAGAGAGCGAAGATGAGACGGATGGAATTTCTTGGAAGACCACACGTGTTTACAATTTCAAACACCTGCAGTTCACTTTTTTCTTAGAAATGCAGGGAATGGGCGGTTTTGGGGTGGTTTAGGGGTATTAGCAGATCAAATTACCGCGTGGCTTGGGTTGGTCAAATAAATAGGATTTAACATGTGTGTTCATGGTCCTTTGTCTTGTAACCGGCTGAAGTGTAAAGTACGGCTTGTCTTGAAATATTTTGTTATACCTTAATAACTGCTGTGTGCTTTTGCTTTGTTATATCAGGTGAGGTATTTGCTTTATTCAATTAATCTATAAATGTGTGTAACTTGAATGCAGATTGTAACCCTTTATTTATGTACTTACTGAATTCAATCACTTGTACCTTTAATGTGTAACCTTTGTTGGTATTGGCAATCATGTTTCATTGTCGGTAGGGCTGTATCTGTGCTGTACATATTTGCATGTGTACATATTTAATTTGTGTATTGTGCTTTTTAGTCTCTCGATTATTTCATTGCATTTCATTATATTTGCTTATGTGGGGCTGTGAGTAATCAAGAGGGAAGTGGGCTTGTTTAGAGGGGATCGAGCTATTCGAGTTTATACGGCCTTGGTGAACCTAACACTAACATTTTCACTCGTTCCGAACTCAACAACTTTAGCCCAGGTAATCCTCCAGCCCGGCGAGGTATATTTGACATCTCTTAGTTTTGTCCGATGTATGTGTTGTAATACCTGGGGAATGGCTCGATCCCATTTTGGTTACTCATAGCGTGTTTGTAGTAGTTACCCCGGTTTCTAGAGGGCTCAAAAGTGCTGTACATTAGGATGTTGTTCATTATAGGACTACTCCGAATTAGGTTTTCCTAATTCGTAACGTAAATGCCGGAGTAGTATAGAACCATCTTAAGACCCTCTGCAGGAACACCGTTTTGGTATTAGCTGCAATATAAACTTAATCAACTATTGCTTTTGGTGTTCCTTACCCATAAAACGCCCTCAGTGCCTGCTGAGAACTCAGTTATTATACACAAGGTAGGTGTCCTACATGACGATCACGATCTTAGTGCACTCGGAGTGGCCCCAGAGTGACAGATTCTCGCGGGAAATGTAAGCGAGAATATTCAAATAGGCAGCCATGTTAGTTTGGCATTCCCGCTACTACCGAATGTGGTCCAATATTCCAGTGTGACTTCAAGTTGGCGTTAGCCACCAAGATAGTAGGAGGCTAAGATCATCACAGTGGCAACCGGTAAAAGGTTTAAAGAAGATTAATTAGTGGTTTTGCTAGCTGTTAAAACACTGTAATTTCCATACTGCGGAATATTGGTAAATTATTCGTCATTAAACGAAATGCCAACTACCAAATTTCAAGAAACGTGAAGCCCAGTTTGTTTCTGATTCAAATCGTCAACCGTCTTTCAAAATTTACTGTCAACGACTAGTCAAATTTACCGACACAGCTTAGCCTTGGGATAAGGCTCGAAAAGTTAAAACTTCTTTAATTAATTAACCGACGTCAAAATTCAAGTTTTTAAGGGCGCATCTCCAGCTCATTCTTCTAAACTCGATTAATGGGTACCTAATTAACGGACCTAAAACTTAACAACTCTTCTTCCCTGACAAGAGAGCTTTCGGCGACTAAAAATAATTTAAATATTTCTACGGGAACGGTTACAAACGGCAGATTAAATATGACCTTTTTTATTCTCCTTAACGAGCGTCGCAATTGTATTGCATAAGGCGTTTCACTATCCAATTTTCCGAATTGCTGCTACCTTTCAAAAGGAGAAAATTTCGACGCATCCATAAATGTAAGTTAATTAAAATGTTTTCATTGTATAAAAACAAGAGTCGATCGTTTTGGGAATTTTTGATAGCAGTTTATTTTGTACTTTTGACCACAACTCTTTCGTGGAAAAATTTAATTAAACCCGATTTTTACAATTTTCGATCTTCGTTTTTGATATTGTCATAATTTAACTCCCATGCGTGTGTGAAAAATGGCTGTTACGAAGTGGTAAATAACTGTAACCACATAAGTTACACCTAATGCTGGGACTGTTCTCGAATCTCAACTATATACTGAGAAATCCTCCACAAGGACCTATTGTTACCTATCCCAGGGGTGGAATTCTGCTAACAAAAAAAAACAGGCTCACTTCAATCCACTTGGCAGACGCGCGCGCTGTAAATAATTCGTCTTTATTATTAACAATACTATAAATATAAAAGTTAAGTACAATTTTGGAAGTTATCGCCAGTAACAAATTAGTCTTCGTTCACTTCTCCGTCCTAACGGATCGTTACCTTGTGAAGTATCACGCCGATTGGAATTCCTGAATAACTCCCCATTTCTCCGCCGATTTCAACGCATCGTCGGCTGCTTGCCTGACCTTCACCTTGTCGTCCTCGGCCTTGGTCAAGGCCATCAAGATTTCCAAGACGTATTTTAAAGTTTAGCATTTTGGAGTTTTCAATTATTTTGAAATCTTTCTTGTTTTTGGGCACTTCTAATTTTATAGTAACCTTGGGCGCATTTCCTGGACTGTTTCATTTTAAATTTTTCTGTTCTATTCTGTTCACGGAATAAACTTCCGTGGGGCGTGGGCTGACCCCTCCAGGAATGTTCAAATGACTTTGGGCATGAATTGCTATCAAAAATCCCCAAAGCGGTCGCCTCCTATTTTTATACAATGCAAAAATTTCAAATAACGTATTTATCGATAAGTTAAAATTTCAGAAATCCAAAAATTTTAATGTTTCAAAATTTCCAATCTTTATATGTCCAAAATTTCACGAAACCCAAAATACCATAATCTCAAATTTCTAAAATGTCAAATGTTCCCAAATTTACAATTCTCAAACGCGCAAACATTTCAAAAATCTAATATCAAAAATCACAGTTTTTCACGTTTAAAATTCTCACCAGCTAAAATCTGAAATTTCTAAATGTTTAAAAACTTCAAAACCTCAAATTCAAAGTTCAAAAATTACAAAATCTAAAATTCCCGAATTCTTAAAATTACAAAATTAACAAAATCTAAAATTCCCGTTCATTTTAGATATCATAAAATCTGAAATTCAAAAAATTAAAAAAACTTAAAATTCCCAGTTTCAAAAGTTTCAAAGTCATTTTAATACTGAAGAGGTCGGCCCACAGAAGTCTATTCCGTTAACGGATTTGTATATATTTTATGGTGATTTTTTTCTCATTAATTGTGAAGTGGAATTTTAAGTCCATTGATGCCATTCCCTTGTGTGGATGAAATTCATGGTGTATAATTATACATTATGGTTAAATTTTGTTTAGCATCCAGAGATGTGTAATGGAAATCCAGGGGCATGGTAAACTTCGGAAAATTTGGCAATTGGAGAATTTGGACTTTATGAAACTTTAAAGATATGAGATTTTAGGATTTTTGAAACTGGGAATTTTTAGTTTTTTAATTTTTTGAATTTCAGATTTTAATTTATTTGAATTTTGTAATTTTTGAACATTGAATTTGAGATTTTGAAGGTTTTAAAAATTTAGAAATTTCAGATTTTAGCTGGTAAGAATTTTAAACGTTCAGAATTCAAGGTTTTTACCATTTTTGAAAAACTGTGATTTTTGATATTAGATTTTTGAAATGGCGCGTTTGAGAATTGTAAATTTGAAACATTTGGCATTTTATAAATTTGAGATTTTGGTATTTTGGGCACCTTGGCCTTTAGGTTTCTTAAAATTTTGGGCATATAAAGATTGGAAATTTTGAAAAATTTGGATTTCTGAAATTTCAACTTATCATGCGTTATTTGAAATTTTTGCATTGTTTAAAAACAGGCAGGGGCGGACTGGGTACTTACGGGTCATTAAAGTATTAGTGTAATGAAGATTGGGGGGGGGGGAGCTCCGCAGTGCGCCACAAAAACATTTTTTGCTTTATTTTAAAGTATTCCTTTCTGGAAAATCAATTAGAATATACGACAGACAAAAGATGATGAATTCATTGTAAAACACTTCAATAAAAACAGAATTTTTTATGAACAACTAACATCAACCCCAATTAGAGAAAATACTCAACCCGTTCGTTCAGAACAAAGAAGTGAACGAAGACTAATTTGTTACTGGCGATAACTTCCTAAATTGTACTTAACTTTTATATTTATACTATTGTTAATAATAAAAACAAATTATTTAATTGTTTACAGCGCGCGCGACTGATCCACCTGGATTGAAGTGAGCCTGTTTTTTTGTTAGCTGAATTCCACCCCTGGTATAGGTAACAATAGGTCCTTGTGCCCAGTCTATAGTTGAGATTCGAGAACAGTCCCAGCATTAGGTGTAACTTATGTGGTTACAATTATTTACCACTCCGTAACCGGTGTAATCTCGACTCAAACGGAGGCTCTCTAGCTCATTCAACTAAACTCGATTAAGGGGTACCTAATTAACGGACCTAAAACTCTTCTTCTCTGATAAGAGAGCTTTCGGCGACTGTAAAAATAATTTAAATATTTCTACGGGAACGCTTGCAAACGGCAAATTAAATACGGTCTTTTATTCTCCTTAACGAGTGCCTCTGCAAATTAACCTTCTCTGTCTGATATTTCCAACTCTTTAACAGAAATAAATATTTCAGGACCACGATTTTCGTAACGAAGCGCCCAACTTAAAACGCTTCCAGATACCCGGTGTTCATCTACAGAGTGATCACTAAATCTGGCAATTTCCATGCGGGTGCTTAGTTACAATACAAAAGGTTCAGCTGTATTGCA